CAAAGATAAAAAAAACTACAATCAACGCTACTGTACAACAAGTGTAGAACCAGTATTTGGATCGTGTATAACTCTAAACTCCCAAATATACCAGTCTTCTGACTCTTTCTTGTTAAACTGCTCACAGCCACCAACAAAAATGGTCTAATGGAGAACTGATGTTTGAAATAACACAAGTTGAAAAAACACATTATTTTGAATTCTCGCTGTAAACTGAAGAGTGAAATCAATGAACTATGAAGCAGATAAACTCTTTTCACAGGGATGTGCTGCATTAAGTGGAAAGCTTTGTTTTCATTTGCCAGTTGTATGCCGTACATTGGATTGTGCTACATTTGCTTTATTTTGCCTATATTGGTTTTTGGCAACTTTTGCCCTTCATTATGGCTCCAAAGTAAGTCAGACTCTTCTTATGTTTATCGTATGTCTTAAATTATGATGTTACGAGGATCTCCTATGTTGTGTGATTTATTCTTAGCTGCAGCATTGACCCTGAAATAAATGTAATTAGATGCTAAAAGGGTGAACAAATTCTGAAACTTCATTGCATCAATTATAGCAAATAATTATAGACAACCTTGGTTTAGTCCTAATTGTTATTTTCTTCACATTATAAATAACTCAATGTTTCTTTTTCAATTTGTACCTGTTGTCTCTACTATTGGCAGCAAGTGTTTACAGTATCACAGCCATGCTATCAACTGTGTTGCCCACTTGTCTAATCCTTAGCTCTATTTTTAGACTACAGGATATGGAATTTAGGGAGCAAAAAGCAAAGACAAGCTGTGTGTGTATGCAAACTCAGAGGAGGCTGTGTGTGTGCGCCTGCGTGTTTGTGAAAGCTTGCGTGTGTGTGTGTAATTCCTTTGTAAATTTCAGTGAATGTGTGAAATCCAGCAGCTTATCCAGATGTCTGGAGGTTTTTGAGTGCATAAAAAGCCAAAGCTGTTTTGATTTTTTTTTTTTAATCTTCTTTGTTGCTGACTAACAACAGCTTGTTTGCAATTCCATCTTTGTGCAGCAAGCAAATGATTTAATATTATGTTATTTGGAAATGTCTCCCATCTTTGAGGTATCTAGCAACCACTCCTGTTGCGTGAGCATCTGTGTCTCTGCAGGAGACTGCCATTATTCAAATTATAGGCCATGTTTACTGTTGGTATTAAACTGGGTGAGGGGTTTGCTAACACTGCAGCCAGTCTGAGCTGGTTTTGACATAACGTAGCCTGTAACACAGCAGGATTTGTATCCATATTTTGTAAGAAATGTGCATTTTCCCAATATTTATGAGCTAGAATGTGGATCTTGTTGATTTGCACTCAAGTTGCATAAAACCTCCTGTTGTGTGTGCTGCAGACAGAGGAAGAAGCTAAAATTGCTTCTCATGGGAATGATTTGATTTGTCCAATAATTGAATTATGACCCTTTAGGACCATCCTTTTAAGTTCCATATAGATTGAGGCTATGCTGTTCTTTTTAAACCAGGGTCATGTAGCTTTGACATTGCCTACTTTCTCCTTTTTCTGACCTTCTTGCTTGCCTAGTGTTATTAACTTAAACCATCAGATGGGTCAGAGAGTTGGAAGGAAGACAGAAGGGGTGGACTATTGGCCATAGTTTTATTTTACCAGCCCCTTGTCAAATATCGTAACTTGATACAGATCATGTATTGTGCGGCTGTAGCTGTAAGACTACTGCCAACAACAACAACAAAATAGAACATTTTTTAACTATTTCTCCTTGTTGTTATATATATATATATGTATATATATATATAATGTTATATTTTCTTCAGTTTAGCATATCCAAACATTATGTGGGCCCTGCTTCCGCATTTATGTTTTGATAGTTGAGTACAAGCCACATTAAAGTATTTTGAGTCACTTGAAAAATCATAAAATAAGCTGTGTGTTTATTTTTCATTAAATACAGCACCAAGTAATGCCATATTTTATAATAAAGCAAAATCATTAACATCAAATAATACAAATTTCAAAACAAGAAAATAAAAGTGCAGTTGTGCCATCATTTGAAATTTAAAATCTCTTCCCGTTTGTCACACCCAAACCTGTCATGTCTCTATTCCTAACCAGTGGGACTTGCCCCACACTTTATGAAGCACTAAATTAGTATGCAAATGCTAAGGACTAACATTAGTCTACATTTTGCTTAAAAGATAAAAATATTGTTGCATCGTACTATAACGCCCTAAAAACACAATACTTTTTTTCTGCAGATTTCACTGCACAGTTGACAGCATCATCATGAGACAGCTTTGCCAGTTCTTTTTATAATCATGAATATTGACAAGTAAATTATAAAACATTGATTATGTTACTGACAGTGAATCCTGGCTGATGCTTGCTCAAACTCAAAAAGTCAGAGAATCCCATATTTATTAAGTGACAATGATGTTTTGCAATCTGAATTTGTAATTTCCGTACAGAGGAACGAGTACTTTACAGTATTTTTATATTTAAAATTACTGCTATGCTCTCCCAGACATAGAGGAAAAAACATGTAAGCATCCATTGTTACCATTTAAAAAAAACACCTCTGAAGTACAGTAGATGGCCTGGAACAGTTCCATTGTATACATTTTCAAGGTTACAGTCACAGGAAATAATGTTGCTCATGGAACATATTCTTTCTGTCTGTGTTTGAACTTCTGCCTTAAGACAGCCAAAACCCATAGTCTGTTGTTTTCACTGCAGTGAAGAGTTGGCAGGGAGTGAAATGGAGGCCAGCTAGCTGACCTCTGCACTGGCCTCTCTTTCATGATGTGTTGCAAAAGGACTGGTACTACATTGATTTGCATGAAACTAGCTCAGCATCCTGGACAACCTGGTGCAAAAAAAAAAAAGTCCAAAAAAGTGACATTGAAAGTCATTCATTTTTTGATTATATTTACATAGAATTATTATTTCCAGATATAAATGTTTAGGTCTGGTTTCAACAGTTACATTTTAATAAGAATACTTTAATTAATCTCACCACATAAAAGGTTGTCAGTTAAACAATTTCCCCAATGTGGAATCAATTAAGTTCAATCTAATCGAATCTATGTCCTGAGTCATCGTATATCAATTTCATCATATCTTCATATCATTTATCAGATTGTATTTACATTGTTCAAGGCCAAAGTAAATATAAGTAAGAGCATTTTTTAGTTTATGGTCACAATAATAGTCCAAAGACATTATAAATATTCTTTATGGCTCTTGGCCCTATTTAGAATAATGAATACTTACAATACTGTATTCATTATGAAAACATTATTGTTGAAGAATGTTTTGCAAGTAGAATATCTGCACATTTTTGCTTTTTAAAAAGTTTTAATGATGGTGGTAGTCATCACTTTCTTATTCTCATTGTGATTCCCGTCTCTGAACTAGTACTATGATGCAAACTAAACTTTTACTCTTAACCTGTTGGAATAAATATGTAGGATTACATTTAAATATTGATTGGTACTTATTGTGTGATCAGCATGATTAGGATTTATTTTGTTTTGATTTACAGTTTTACCAATCTTCATCTTCTTCATCTTTTACGTAGAGTCTAAACTTAGAACTTAGAACTTATGAAACTTAATCAGGTAAGGCTTTTATTAAATTAAGGTTCACATTAAAAAAGAACTTGATATTGTTTCTATGTTACTTCACTGAAAAGTATCTTAGCTATTTTTTTTGCACATGAGTTGCAGTAGGCCATGTTTGCTTAGCTGTCGTGAATTCAGAACAAGCAAGGCAAGTTTTTGTGGTGTTGCCTCAAGAGATAAACCAGTATTGCATAACTGTAAATATATAAATTACAAACAAACCGGAACTAACTGGAACATGATTGCGAATTTTAACTGTTTGCCTTTTGACATTTCCTCCTGTTTCCTTGTTACATATTCCATACACTGCACTCTGTGTAAAGTTTATATTCTAAAAGTTGTGGACTGCACTCTGTTATAAAGAAAGTGAAGACATTCCAGGAATTAATGGTGATTTACAGATGACAGAGAACATGAATAATGTCTTCCTTAGAGGGTTAAAGACAGACCATGGGTCGTAAATACTACACATTTTCTTTAATAGTATTAATAATAATTTAGAAGGCCAAAATGATTGAGTTCGAAACATACAAGCCAGTCAATAACCTGCATGATTCAAGTAATTAGTTTGATCAAAAATAAAAACAATTAAATATAGACATGCATGCAGCTCATTCTTAATTAAAAATTTAAAGTTGTAAATTAGGACAGGTTGGAAATGTGTCAGCACTTGGAGCCAAATACTGTGGAAAAATCAGGAAATGCCTGTGAAATTCCACTAATGGGGCTTGTAATGCTCTCTGAAGCATTAGAGTTAATTGTGCAAAACCATGTGTGAAGAAAGCTCTAGCATTATTAGCTAAAAATAGGTTAGTAAATTATTCAAAAAAAGCTAAATGGTAATTGAAAGGAGATTAGGGTTAGACCAAAAGTAGACAAAATATATAGTAGGTTGAATCCATATTAGTTGTATTGCATTCACATACATTAAGTACATATATAGCCATATAAAAAACTCAGGTTGAAAATGCTTATCCAGCTTGTTGGACAAATTCTTATGCCTTCACCAGGTCTTACAGACCCAACAAATGCATGCTAATTTTGTCTGTATTTTGTAATAAATTATTAATTTAATGTGTGTGAAATCCATGCTTGTTGACACACTTGGGAGCCCCATGTTTCCTGTTTAGATTTGTGTTGATTCCATGCCCTTCCTGTGTTGGTCTCGGTTGCTCTCACCTCAGAAAATAGTTGTTTGGAAGTATGTTACTACTGATGAATGACAGCAGGACCTTAAATGACCTGGTCTTTGTCTGAGAACTGCTTTGATTACTAGTCTGATTTTGGTCACTTATACTGTACCTCCTTCCCAGGTTTTGGCTTGGCTTGGTTTGTTTAGTACTGTAATTAATAATTTGAGTTGTTATCACTTGTCTGTTCATCTTCCTTTTGCTGGCAGAATGAAGATGTCTGAGGCCTGAGATAAACCCCTCCAGCACCTCAGAGATTGTGTACCAGACCTGGGGCTGGACCCAGAGACCCCTGCCTCGGGGGTGAAGGGCCCTTAAAGCCCTGTCTAAGTCTGGACCATGGGGGATGGAGGCACTGGTGCAACCGGAGGAGATGGGGTGAACCAGTCTCATGTTCTTTTTGACAAATTCGTCCAAGGCACCACATGCAAGGGCACTCTCAAGGCCTTCCAGGAGTTATGTGAACATCTGGAAGTCAAACCCACAGAGTACAAGGTCTTTTACCACAAGCTCAAGTCCAAACTCAACTATTGGAAGGCCAAGGCGCTCTGGGCCAAGTTAGACAAAAGAGCCAGCCACAAGGAATACAAGAAGGGCCGCGCTTGTGCCAACTCGAAGGTAGGCCTGCACCAGCAGAGACGGTGTTATGTGAATGTTGCTGATTTGATCCTTTAATGGAAACATAAAATGTAATGTGATGCTCATGCATACCTGGCATTACATTGTTATTTACAGTGTTTATTCAATTATCATCTGTTATAATTATAGTTTTGTGAAACTATAATTATAATACAAAAATCACGGAAAAAATGACCTATTGCAAACAAACTTTTTTTTTCCTTAATGGGATTGGATATTTTATTTCAGCTTAATCACAACCTGGTATTTTGCCTACACTAACCCAGACATAATAGGACCTTAGGCTACCAAAACTATTTACTCGTTGAATTGTGAAAGAAAATCTTTTTTTTTTTTTTCAAACTTTCAAAGATTTATTTCATTCTTTTATGACATAATGTATCATGAAAATTTTGAAATCCTGAGGAATAAATTATAATGTCAAGAATGGTAATCAGATATGATGTTAAGATCAATGTGTTTGTTCATGATTAATATGTGAATCCTGATTTGCCACTGTGTGTGCTATGTGATGTTCTTTGCTGTTGACTTCCTAATTTCTCCAGCTGTGGAGGGACATGGGGGAATTTATTAAGATGGTCTACTAATCCAACTTAACCGCATTAACTAATAAGTGACTGGATATTAGCTTCTCCTCTGTATGTTATCTAACACTGAGGTTCAGTTGCTACTGACTCGCAGAATTTGGAGAAGATGAATATATGATTTTTTTCAAATAATTTAAATTGTCCTCTAAACATGTGGTTTTGACCTGTCTACTTTGGTTGACTATGTGTATTGTTTACATAAATACATCATAACATTAGTATTTCTATTGTTCCAGTGTTTGATTATTGGTGCGGGGCCATGCGGCTTGCGCACAGCAATAGAACTGGCTTTCCTGGGGGCCAAAGTGGTGCTGATTGAGAAGAGAGATGCCTTCTCCAGGAACAATGTCCTGCATCTTTGGCCCTTCACCATCCAGGACCTCAGGGGTCTCGGGGCAAAAAAGTTCTATGGGAAATTCTGTGCTGGTGCAATTGATCATATCAGTGAGTAAACACATAAAATGTTAAGTCTTCTTTTAGACTTTATTGTTTTAATGTGGTTTCCTTTGTACGTTCAAATGTGTATTTAGGGGTTTGTAGGTAAATATATATTTTTACTGTGTATTGCAGGTATTCGTCAGCTTCAGCTCATGCTGCTCAAGATGGCTCTTCTGCTCGGCATTGAGATACATGTTAATGTAGAGTTCAAGAGTCTTATTGAGCCTCCTGAGCATCAGGAGATCGAGAGTAAGTGAGACATAGTAATAATGGAGAGCAAACTTTCTGTCACAAGCTTTATGTCTGGCTCTGCATTTCTGTCTGATTACACACACACTGATTTTTTTCAGAGATAGGCTGGAGAGCAGAGGTCCACCCTAAGACACACCCTGTCAGTGAGCTGGAGTTTGATGTCATCATTGGAGCAGATGGAAGGAGGAACACGTTACCAGGCACGTTTGCATTTACAGACTGAGTGAAAGTTCTTCCTTGACTACAAATAAAAAAACAAACTGTATTTTGGGTGTCCTTTGCACATGTACTTCAAGGCTGAAGTGATTATGATCTCACAAGGATACAGCTGTGTTCAACAAATTAACAGCTCTCTCTTTGTGTGAGTGTTTTGTTTTTGACAAATGAAGAGAGCAGGATAGAAATGTCCTTCTTTAGCATTGCACCTCTCTTGGCTGTGAACCTACATTTTTTCAGTACTTTACTAATTATCTTAAGTCCTAATACACTCCAGTGATTAACTTGAGACAATTTTAGTGCTTGCTCAATAAAACACAGTCCTGCCAGAATCGTGTTAACATGATGACACTGCGTATTACTGTGTGAACTAATATAAAAAAAGATCACATCCATCTGATAGTTTACTTTTCTTTGTTTAAACATACAATATTTATGGTTGAGATTCTGTTGATCCTGATTATTCATCGTGCGTAAACCCTACTCTTCGCTCTCTGTTCTCCCTCTCCAAAAGGGTTTCGGCGCAAGGAGTTCCGGGGCAAGCTTGCAATTGCCATCACAGCTAACTTCATCAACAGAAATACGACGGCGGAGGCAAAGGTTGAGGAAATTAGTGGCGTGGCCTTCATTTTTAACCAGAAGTTTTTTCAAGACCTCAGAGAAGCCACAGGTGTGTAACGTCCCGTTAGAAAGAACATGTTACCATGGCATTTACTGTCTGATTGTAAATGTTCCATGCTGTTTCAGGGTGTATTGAATTCCCAAAAAGGAAATGGGTCATCTCCTCTGTTTTCTTTACATCCCTGCATCCAACCAACCCAATTAAACACTTTTACACCATGTTTAATGCCATGTTCTTCTATTTTATTGCTGACATGGCAATGTTCTGGGCGATGTCTCTGGGTTTGTGCTTTGAATTGTGTAATTGCCCCTCTTGTCCTCCAAATAGGCCATGGCAGTCGACTGTGAACAATAAGACAAAAAGGGTGTTTTTGTTTAACAATATGTCTCTCCATCGGCATTTCTAGGTATTGACCTGGAAAACATTGTCTATTACAAGGATGACACGCACTACTTTGTGATGACTGCCAAAAAACAGAGCCTGCTGGAAAAGGGAGTCATTCTGCATGTGAGTGATTAAAGACTCGCTAGGAGCACAGTGTGGTATATTAAGTGTTTACGTGCATGATACTTTTTGTATTTAAAAAATATTAAATGTAGTAAAGTGTCCAGTTATTTTTGACAATAAAGTAACCCTCAGTGCTGTTTCTAATGAACAGACAGAGAATAAAGACTTAGTAAAAGGGGATTTCATTGTACGAGGCAGTTAGGCAGGACAATCCTGGGACCCATTTGGCTCTTGCACGTCTGTGCTCTTCCTGTTGCCCATCATCAGCTTCTCTAAACTTGGCAGGGATAACCAGGAAGGTTGAAGAATGAAGAATGTGACTTTCACCGCCCTCTGTGAAAATGTCACCTTTAGAGCATGAAGGGATTTGCTGATATGTGTAGATATACTTTTAGACAGGCTAGATCATTCTACAGTATTGTGCTGTCTCCTTAAAGCACAGTTGAGTTTGGCAGAACATCAAATATAATTGTATAGATATTCAAACTTTATTTTACTTTACTTTATTTCCTGTTAAGTCTTTCTGCCTGACATGAAGCCCTGTGCTTTTTATTTAAAAAACTTCCTCTTGTTAACTGCCAATTATAGTAATAATTAAATTTTAGCTTATTTTTCTCTTGTCTAAGCTGCTTGTGGTGCAGCTTGTATGCTTTTGTGAATTTGTGCTTCCTTTTATGGATGCTACGCAAATCTTTGAAAGAGTAAGTGATACCAGACAAATGTAAAGTACTGACAAATGTGTCCCACATGTAAAATATTATTTTCAAAAGCTGACAGTTTTATCCATCGTAAGCACATCTTACTAGTACCAGACCGAGAACGCCCTTTGCCTATGGAATTGCTTTTATTCTTTGTGACCTTGACTTAACGAGACCCTGGAGACTTCCCTCAGATGTTTTGGTTAAGTCACAGTCAGAATGTTCTACAGGATTAAAATCAATTGGAGGACACGGACAGGATTTAATTGGCATGTTCAAGAAACCAGTTTAACGTAATTAAAGTACATTATTGACCTGCAATTGGAAAATGAGTAGATTCTGTCATAAATGGGTCATCTTGTACAGCCAAGACTGGACAAAAACAAGAATTCAAGCTTTGTTTACAGTTCTAATTTGACTAGAGTTGTAGCTGCTGTGCTCCTCTCCTGCTGGAGTTCATCTGGTGGTAGGTTAATGTGTTTTGCGTTCAGTGATGCTCATCTGTTTTCCTGGGTTGAAACCAGATTTATTGTTAATGTAACCATCCCATCAGCCCAACCCAGTCTGACTATTCTACTCTGATTTCTAGAATCAATGAGGTCCTTTTTCCCCATGCGTCTACTACTTAATGGATCTTGCCCCTTTTGTGGGCTATTATTATATTTTTAAGCAGAGAAACATGTTAGGAGACAGTTGTTCTTAAACTGATTAGCTGCAAAAACAACCCTTTTGCACATATTACCATATTTTCATTTCATTCTTTGTTCTGTCTTCTTTGTCTTGACTTATCTTGATCAATTATGTCGTTTGTCATTTTTCACTTCTGCAGGATTATGCAGACACTGAGCTACTGCTCTCGAGAGCTAACGTGGACCAAGCTGCTTTACTGTCTTATGCCAGTAAAGCTGCAGATTTCTCCACAAACCACCAGCTGCCCACACTGGACTTTGCCATCAACCACTATGGACAGCCAGATGTAGCCATGTTTGATTTCACCTGCATGTACGCCTCAGAGAACGCTGCCATTGTGCGGCAGCGCAATGGCCACAAGCTTCTGGTGGCACTGGTTGGAGACAGTTTGCTGGAGGTGGGTGACTCCACAGAGGTTTGATCGCCTCCTGGCCAACCCTCGTTTATTTTTCCACATCCTTGCCTCGTCTTCGACCATACTTGGTCATTGAATGCAGTGTTTACTGTCGTCTCTCCAGCCCTTCTGGCCAATGGGCACCGGTATCGCCCGAGGTTTCTTGGCAGCCATGGACTCGGGCTGGATGGTGAAGAGCTGGGCTCAAGGAAAAACCCCTTTGGAGGTGCTGGCAGAGAGGTGAGGCTGTGGAAACACTGATACTCGCTCACCAAACTGCTAGTACTCATTCAACCACATGCACACGTGTTCGCTCTTCTCAAACACACCCTTTAATCTCTAAGTGCTTTACTAGGAAATATGCCTGGATGTAATTTCCAGCATTAGTCCCACCTCTCCTATTACTAATGGGATAAGTGTCTCTCATAATCTGGATGGAATGTGACACCTCTGTTGTGAAGTGACTCCATTGGCCCTCAGTTAACGTTAATTTCTTTATGCAAAGACATGTGCTGTTTTGCTGTAACACCTAATGGAGGAGAATTATCTAACAAGATTTGAATTTGTTTTTGTCTCTGTGCTCCAGGGAGAGTATATATCGACTCCTGCCCCAGACCACACCAGAAAACGTCAGTAAGAACTTCAATCAGTACAGTGTGGATCCTACCACACGTTATCCCAACATCAGCCTTAACTTCCTGAAGCCTAGCCAGGTGAGCGTTCAAGTTGGTGATGAAGGTGCCACATGTCTGTCATACTTCTCTGTGGTAAAAATCAAAGTTTACTCTTGAACAAATGTTCACATTAGCATTCCTGGGTGGTTTGTCATGCAGAGGTATTTTCAAAAGTGCCTGATAGTTTTGGTTGTGTAATACATTATATCTGTGTTTACAGGTGCGGCATCTGTTTGACACAGGGGAGCAGCGGGAAATGCGCATTGAAATAGAGAATGTAATAAATACCTCAACACCCAAGTTAGCCAGGAATGGTTTGTATCTATTTTTTTCTATTCATTTTTTTAATATTGAAAAAAAACCCTCAATTATTTATTTTTTAATCACTGTAGCATTATACTGCGAATACTGTTACTAAAGTGTATCTAAACTACACTATTTTTACTCCAGACAATTGCCTGCTTGACAAGCAGTTGCAAGGTAACACAAAGTCGAAAGAATGCATGATGTTGCTCTCCAGGGATACCCAGTAGTTTTAACTGTGTTAACATTTACCCTTTAAATGAATTCATGAATGAGTGGATCAGAACTGGAACTGCTATGTTGGAACTGTGTGGATATTCTGCAGCCTTTCAAAATTCCTATCTGCATACTAATTTCATCATCAATACTCTGTCTGGTTTGTACTCAACACTTAACGTGACTCTCTGCCATGTTAAAGGTTTCCCGTGTGTTGTGCATCCTCTCCTAACCTCTTATTAAACCTTCCCCCCTGCCCCTTCACATCAGAAAGGTTTTATATCTCATGGTTCTTTGTGCTTTTTTTTTCCTCTGGCTGGTTGCAACTTGTACTGACTTGAATAATGAGTCCAAGAATGACAAAACGTTTTTATCTTGTGCCTGGCCTTATCCAACCAAGGCTATGACATTGCCTTGCAAGATTTTATGCTAGTTCACTGCGTTTAATTAACATGATTTATCTCTCATACCAGAATCTGTTGCTCGGTCAAGCAAGCTACTCAACTGGTGTCAGAGACAGACCGAGGGATATAGGAACGTTAATGTGACAGACCTTACCATGTCTTGGAAAAGCGGTCTGGCTCTGTGTGCCCTAATTCATCGATACAGACCTGATCTCATGTAAGTACCTGCAAGAAATGCACGGGAAGTTAAATGCTGCATACCAGACGTTATATACAAATGATCTCTTTTAGGGGTAACCCATTTGTTCAAAGCATTAAAGAGTTCCTTGGAAGAATGCCCTGTAGCTGTGGGTGAACTGACATATTTAATATTACTGTTATTATTCTTCTTTCGTTCTTCCATAACTATATATCTTTATATAAATTATTTTTAGCCCTACAGCATTTTTTAAAATGTTTTTTTATTAAAGTTGTTTTTGTCCTTCTGGATTCCTAAGCTTGTGCAAGAACATTTAACTGTTATTAGGGAGCAGCTGCCAGTAAATTGGCCTTTAGGGTGCAATGCTTTACTGTACACACACACACACACACACATATGCACACACACACACAGACCCTTTTACTTGCACTCTAAGAAGAACACAGTCTCCATCCTTACTGCCTAATGCAGTTTGCTACAGGCTGGAGTACACATAGCAATTAGCATTATAAGCTATTAGGATCTGAGTCCTAACTGACCTTTACCATGGGGTTTAGATATGCTCTGTTGCTTTTAGTAGGCCAGTCCACGAGAGACGAAGAAAAAAAAGTTGATGTGTAGAGAGCCTTGTGTGAATCCTGTTAGCGTGCACATAAGACATGACGCTTAGGAAGATTGAGTGGTTTGATGCCTAATCTGAATTTTCAGTGATAATGCTATCAAATGCACTGTGTCCATTTGAAAGCATGACATTAACAGTAAGCTGTTTGTACCATTTACAGTAGGCTGCTGCACAGAAATGCCTCTGTGGTCTACAACTAAACCTTGGTTATACAGATTGATTTATTGCTGTTTGCAATTTGCGTAGCGTTTTAAGAGTTGCATTTTTTAGTGAAGAACAATAAACTGGCCAATGGCTTTATACTGCCCCTCTGTGCACATACTTAGAGACATTATGCTTTAAGGTTTTAAATACCCATCAACAAAAACTTTAAAACAGAGCTTCAGTCTATTATCACAAGTTTAATATTCAATTCTTTGAGGTTCCTATAATCCTCTACATGGATAAGTTATAGGTCAAGTGATCCGACAAACCCAGTGTTGCCAATATTAATGAGATTACTAGTAAGGGTGTTACAGAATAGGAAAACAGACGGGCACAGAGGTGTAAATTAAACTGCATTTTACTTAATGATATTATATTAATAGTGATATTTGGGATTACAAAAGGGCAGTTTTTGGACTTCCTGATTTAATTTTTTATTTCTGTGTGGTAACTGACAACTACTGTTGGGAATGGGAATATCATGACATTTTATTTGTTATGATAGGTTGAGATATGCTATGAAACGCAGACTTTTGTGGTATTTGATGAGTAGCTCTGATAAAAAAAAACCAAAACAATATTTGACACAACCATATAGTATTTTTTCCACCTCATGAATCGATGATTATCTGCCAATCCATCAGTCCCTAAAACACCAGAGTAAAGATATCTAGCTTAGGTCCCTTCATTAATTTTTTATATTACCCACAAAGTTGAATGAATATTGTAAAAATGTAAACATTTCTTAATCACCTTTTATTAAGTAATGCAATGACATTTTTTATTTTTATTTTTGTGTCTGTTGTTTGATATGTTTATTGCTGATGCAATGATTTTATTCATTGTTCCAGTTGTATCTCGTTTATACTCTGACACTAATATTCTCTCTCTATCTCCTCTGTCATCTTCTCATCAGTGACTTCGACTCGCTGGACGAGCGGAACTATGAGAAGAACAACCAGTTGGGTTTTGACGTGGCAGAGAAAGAGTTTGGTATCTCACCGTGCATGACTGGAAAGGAGATGTCTTCTGTGGTAGAGCCAGACAAGCTCTCCATGGTCATGTACCTCAGCCAGTTCTATGAGATGTTTAAGGACACAGTGCCACCCGGAGGTGAGAGCTGGTGACACCAGAGAAAAAATAATTTTTAGAACAATTATTCATCTTCAAGCATTAGCTGTGGAAGTTTAAATTTTAAAAATGTACCTTATTATGTTTGTATAATTGTATTTGTATAATCCTATTTTCTTTGTGTAATTTTACCTAGATAACCAAAACCTGAGCCCTGAGGAGAAGGCAGCACTCATATCCAGCACCAAGTCACCCATCTCCTTCCTCAGTAAACTTGGTCAAAGCATTGCAATATCAAGGAAGCGAAATCCAAAGGTACATGTCTCTGATTCTGTACCACATCTTAAAAGTTGGTTCTTTTCAGAAGCTGGTCTTTTTAAGAAATAAAGTTGTCAAATATTATCAACTTTATTTGACAATAAACTTTGACTTAAAAATAACCCATGGTATTTCTGTGAAAGGACAAAAAAGAGAAGGATGTGGACAGTTTGGGGAAGAGAAGAAAGACAAGTCAGTCAGAGGATGTGAGTATCACAGATTCAAACTTTGTGAAACAGTCTGACCTGTCTGAACAGCCACGATGTCTCAATTTATCTTAATAAAAAAGAAAATCCTTTCTTAACTGCAGGAGGAGGTTTCCAGGAGCATCTGTGATGACAGGACATCGGTCTCAGCTATTCTCTCTGACAGGAAAATGGACTCTGCTGCTGTTGCTAACAATAATAACAAAGTTAAGGTCATGGCCACCCAGCTACTTGCCAAGTTTGAGGAGAACGCCCCTGCCCAATCATCAGGACTCAAAAGACAGGTATGGAAAAGGTCACAAAGTTTATTTTGTCAGAATTTCCGGCTGCAGCATACAAGGTCTTTCCAAAAGTTCAAATTATATCAGCACACATAATTTGTTTTCCTCACAATTGTTACTTGAATCATTATGCTGATTTTATATGATCTTTTTTTCACAAATCTCCTGGAGGAGTGGCTGTAGGCCACTGCATTAATGAGCTAAATCCAGAATGCAAATACTGGTCAGGCTGAGTATTGTTTCCAGGACATGTACGTAGGTGGCCTCTCAATGCTGACTAGGCTGGAGAGACTGTGTTGAATTAGTTAGAAATGAATTAGTTTCCAAACCATGGTTTCAAACCACAATGCTTCTGAGGATCAACTGAGCCGTGGGAGAAAGATGTGGGCTGAGGGAACACTGGGCAGTGTTGAAGGGGAATGACTTGGGAATATTCTTGTTGTTTTGTTTTTTTTATACAAAGTAGCTAGTAAAAGTTTGGTCATCCTGTAAAAAGATGCATTATTGAAGATAGTATACTATAAAATAAAAAATAAATCTAAAATCTGTCTGGGGCCAGTCTATAGGTCATTTGGTAGCAACCCGCAGTGGGCTGCAGTGAAAAAATGTTCCTCTGTTTATATTTCATTTAAAAAAGAGTCCAGTCTTAGCTCTATACTTTTTTTATTGAAAAATAATCTCACAATGTTTCAAAACAATAGGTCATTCAGACTCCAATACTAACAGAATAAAGTCTAAAAGATGTTTTATTTTGGAAGTGGAACTTTTGGAAGTTAGTGATCCTTCAAAGATGCTGCGGTATTACCGGTCCGCAGTAAAGGCTGATTCTTGTTACAAAAAAGATTGTGGATCGTTGTTTAAAGTGAAACAGTTTGTTTCAGCAGCTGATTGAAGAAGATGTGAACTGCCGTCAAGTGCAGAATGAACAGCAAATCATTGACAGCCATTGACATAAAAATGAGTCGTGTGTGTCGCCAAAGTGTTTTTAATGGCCACTATTCACACCCAGAGTGAGGAGATGCTTACACATTTGAACCTGCATTGTTAATCATAACAACTTAATATCCAGGTGTAACGGTAACAGGAAGTTTGTCATTAGTCGGTTACAACTGAAGAAGCCTCATGAATGGGAGGTGGATTCCATTCAAGAGATTTTCTGAAGTTCTTATCATGGAACTAAATAACTGTTAACTGTAGATGCTGCCATGCATATTTCCCTTTTTCTAAAATGAAAGACATTACTGTTCAGCACAAAGGCATTAGCTGTGACCCAAACCCTTGCTTATTAGAATGGTCAGTTTTCTATATGACCCTTGCTCCTCCATGGCCTTGTAGTGAGCAACTTAGTGGTTGGTGGTGAAGGTGTGTGAGATGTCTTAATGGATGGTGTTGCTGTTATTTTTTCAAGGGTGTGTTCTGTTTTTACTATCATTGATCATTGATCAATGTTTTGTATGAATATTTACTGAGTAAATATATCTTGGCATGTGTCGCACAGGGTTCTTTAATTCAATATTATCTTGAGGCCTCTACTCAGTTCCTCTGTTTTCCAGCCGCAATGACCACTGTGTGCCACCGTGATTCACTTCCTCTTTTCTATTTCTATTTTTCTTTCCTTTTGTCTGCTGTCTCATATCATGGACTGTTCCATGATGCCTTCCATGGTTACTGTGGCCTTCTCGCTGGCCACATGGGCTGTCATTCATATCTCTAAAGGCGAACTCAGTGCTCAACCTGGACTGCATTTTGTCCACTTCAAAACCCCAACCCCCTGTCAAAGAGCCAGTTCGCCTGGCACCTGTACCTGCATGGAGAAAGGTAAAGAGTGGGAATGTTCCAGTGTTTACCCTTACCCCACTGAAAACTAACACGAAGACTGAACATCTCTGACCATACCTTCATGTGGTGTGTAATACTGACACATCTGCCTCGTGTTGCCTGGTCATGGTCTTCATGATACACAAACAGATGGTAGATTGTTGGAGTTGCTGAAGATTGATTTTTATGTTTAACAAATCTAGTTTTGTACAGTTGTGTTGATATGAAATTTGTTTATGTTCCTCCAAAGTCACAGTGTCTTTCCTCCTTGCTTCTAACTGTCCAAACTCAGAGACGTACACAACAGCAAGCGCAGCTGAGCATTCGTTTTAAAGAAATGATCAAGTGTCAGACGCTGCCTCATAAAGGGGAGCAGGTATGCTAGCCCTGTAGTACCCAGAATCCTTTTACGTCCCTTTAAAATAAGATTTCCTTATCTTAAGATGTGGAATAAATAATGTGCCGGTGCATATGCAACTGGAAGGAAGGGGTTGGTGTCTCATAGAAACCATTAATATATTTTGCATAAATTGCTGGAAAATGGCAACATTTTGTAGCCCCCAATGTAACAAGCAATTGAATTACTATTCAGAGGTCCTCGATGTATGACCAACAGTGTTCACTGTCATTTATTATTTATTTATTATTACGGCTTCCAAGCGTATGTCAGTAATTAATAGTGTAACTCTGTACTCTGTGATGTAAACTGTGATATTCTTAAAAAAAGTTCAACTTATATACTACTTGCTATGAGAACTTCTTCCTATTCCTTCCTGTTGCTTGTAATACTTTGTACAGTCCTCTCATTAGAAGCAGTAAGTTATTTTTTTCTATTGTTAGCCAGCAGTCCTGCTCAGAGTTAATGTTCCTGTTCACAAAGTAATCTGTCCCTGTGCTGCACTCACTCCTGCAGGCCCTGTAGTGTACCAGCTGTAGCTGTCTTTTCTGTTCTGTCTGTCACACTGCTGAACAGTTTTTTTCCTTGAAAAACAAAGTGGATGGAGTTAAGTGCCAAATCCCTTTCTCTCCTCCCGCAGCCTAGAAAGCTTGTCTTTTGTCTTGTCTCCAGTTTAAACATTCACATCACAGACTTTGAGCTAAAGGCTCAGACACTGCTGTTGAAGGGGACTTAGTTCTCTGGTTTGTTTTTTTTGTACTTGCAGTGTATTGGAAGTTTCTTGCTGGTGCATACATTTAAGGAAAAGCATTTATAGAGACAATGTTGAAAATGAAATGAAAATGTCCCAATACAATTATGATATTAATAACCTCAAAATTAAGGAAACACAATTTCCAATTTTTGCCCTGGTAGAAAATGTAGTGACTTAAATGCAGGTATAGCAACACATTCATTATTGAATAAATACCTACATTCTTATTTTCCTTTTCTAATCACATCTTATAAGCTCCTCTATACCGTATTTACACTTTATCTCTTTATGCTCCTTTAGTAAATTGTACAGTATGTTTTTACACAAAAACATACTGTTTTTACATACTGTTTGCCAACAGTACTTTTCTCAGCCTTTTCTTAAAATGTATACCCCTAATTTGTTCTACAGGTTTGTTAGTTTAAACGGCATATGGTTTTTGTAACCAAAGACCACTTAGCAGGCATAGACACTTTAGGATGATCAATATTTAGAGTACAGTAATGGTAACACAGGTATTGCGTGTCTGCCCCAGTTCTATAGGAGAGGCAACAATAATTACGTAGCAACAAGTCAACACTGCTTAAAGTAAATAGCAGAAACCCTAGAATTGTTATTTTTTGTATTGTAGTTGTATACGGACATTTGAATTAACATATAGAAAATAAATATTTGTGTCATAAGTACTAGATTGTCGTTTTCATTATCATCATCATCACCATCATCTTCTGTTTACATGGCTGTTCCTGTTCTTCATCTCTCAAGGCCAGAAGTGGCGCAGACCAACTGTCCAGTTCGGGCTCTCGGAGCTGCCCTAAGAAAACCATTCTGCTTCCTTCTTCTTCCTCCACTTCACTGCTCTCTCTTCACTCAGAGGTGATACATAAAACTGTAGTGTCTCTGTCTGCGTCTATACATCTCTGTCATACATCCCTGGAAATAATACCCTCTCACTCTACGTTTGCATCTTTCCAACCAGTCTTCATAATTAGGTCCACTTGACTTTGATATTAGTGCTAATGACAAAATGCTGCATTTCTCAATCGGATTTTCTAGACACTGTGTCTGGCATACTCCCCTGTGAGTGTGTAGTGAGTGCCTCATTATTAAAGAAGCTGCCAATGTTAATGCTAAAGGGCACTTGGTTTGGATGGCGTAGCTTGTAAATGAAGACTCCTGGAACTTGGGACGGTTGAACTTTATTTCAGGAAATTTAACAAGCTCGTCTGCTACGTGAAAGTCAACAGCTGCTTTCAGGGCTTTGTCTATTTAGAATTAATGCTACCCCATGTGTCTGCTCTTTTCTGTTGTCATGGACATACAGTGAAATCCAGAGGAAGAGCAGCTTTTCTTGAGTAGTAAAATATAAGAAATAGTGAAGTTAATGTATTTCTATTGTCTGTACGTAGCTGGTTGTAGTTAACTGAGATCTGCTTGAAAAACAAGAACTCTATATAAAGCTATAGTTTTAAAACAGACCTGGGCAAACCATGGTCATGGGCCAGACATGGTCTGTCGGTTAAACTTTTAACCTCACTTTGGCCTGTGAGCCAAAAAGTTTGCCGACTTCCCTCTTAAAAGTAAAGAGCATAAAGGTTCATTCTGCATTCAGTCTCAGTAGAGCTTCTTCTACAGGAGGGGGAGCCACCGCAGCCGAGACCAATCCACATACCTGGTATACAGGAGCGAACTGACTGGCTTATTTCAAATTTTAACTGCAAACCTGACAAACCACCACAGGTGAACACAATGCATGTGCATGGTTCAGTGTTTCCCTTACAAAGGTTATCACACCTGGTGGGCTGTTTTTCCAAAATTTAGATGCAGCAAATATCTTTTTTACAGTCACTGATGTTGACGTTCATGTAAATGGTTATTTATTTCTGTATATGGAACTGTGACTGAAACAAGGCTAAAGATGGACACAACCTAATTTTGGGGTTAATATGATCTGCCTGTGACCTGACTTGAGCTGTTGTAATAATGAGGTTGATTCTCTGTAGATCAATGTTACCCACACGTATAGCTTGGGAGCTTCTTTTTAAATGAAAAGACTAAAATGGTCTATCTACGTCTATCTACATTTAAAACATTCAGTATATATTTACTCATTACATTGCATTACACATTACATAATATAATTAATATACTATGTATACATTATATGTTGGGGTTCTTTGATTAAATGCATACAGCTCTATAGAACAGTACGATTTAATACCTATATGGTTTTACATTAGGTAGTGATTAGCATTAGCAAGTACAATTACATAAATATACTTTTTTTAAAAATACTTTACCAGCACTCACTGTGTGATCTACAGGTAGATTGCACTCACTTTATTGGACACCCATGCTGTAGAGTATAAAGCACCTTTTCTCTGTCTCTTCTACTTTCTCGTCACTTCTAGCAGAAAATTGGAGTTGAGTATAGGTTGAACGGTTAGACAAAACATAGGGGAAACACTGAACACAGTTTTGACTATTTAAGTTTTGTGTAATATATGATGCTATGTTCTATATATTTTTGTGTAATATATGATGCTATGTTCTGTTGCTCCAGTTTAATGGCTTCTGTCAATATTATTTTTTTGTCCATGGAGCCTAAGAAAAAGCCATCCCACTTCTTTTTAGAGCAGTGGTACTTGTCCCGAGGCCTCAGTCCTGGGTCACCTCTTTCTTCTCATGACTCTCAAAAGGTTAGGTCTTTTGTGCTGTGGACTGAGATCTAACACATCAACCATTGTTGTTCAGAGAAATAACAATTAAAATATTTCCTTTGTTCATCAGTTTCATGATAAAGATGTTGAGATGTTTGATTATTACTAACTGCAGGCGTGGCTTTCATAGTTTACCCACCTAGTCTTACATTACTACATAAATTAAAGACCGTCAGTGAGAACAATGCAAACATTGGTTAACAAACACTGTATTGTATAGGTCACAAAGACTTGCTTGTTTGAAGGAGGGATTGTGTCTGAAAACCACCAAAAAGTTAGAGGATAAAAACCTTTTTTAGACTTGTACACTGCTTTTTGTGATTGAATCCTCCGTTCTCCTGTAGGAGTCGTCAAGGCCTCTGCTCTCTGATGACCAGACGCCCTTATATGTGCTTAGTATTCAGGAGAGGGCCGACCAGCTGGCCTCCCAGTTAGAGGGCAAGTCAGTTGGACCAAAGGTGGAATATCTATTGCAGACAGCTGTCTGTCAAATATTTATACAGCTTATTAATGTGCAAGTTTTCATAGAATTGTCGTGGGTTTGATTTTTTTTTTCTTTTTAAAAGATGTTTTTAAAACAAAGTGTGTGCGTTTGACAATCAGAATCCACTTCAATTGGTTAATTTGGTTCCATTGCTGTGGCTCAGAAATAGCATCGGCAGAAAACATTCAGACTTTGAAATTGTAAAACTACTAATATGTTTGGGTTCAGAAAAGTCGTCCACAGTTTTCGGCATTGCTGATAAGCAGCTGAGTAAAGTATTACATGGATTGTGATTAACAGCACAAATGTATACTAATTTATTAGCATCAGGCTAATTAAAAGCATGTGGCTGTGTAAAAGTGTTTTCAAAATTTTGGCCTTCTTAATCATCTCATCTTTCTCTTTTGTGTGGAGCCCAAGAAAAAGCCCTCACGGTTTTTTATGGAACAATGGCACCTGGCCAGAGCCCAGACCCCCCATGAGTCTGCCCCCTCTTCCTCTGACACCCTCAGACAGGTAGTCACGTCATGCCTGAAAGGAATGTATTGCAGTGGTTCTAACAAGCTGCACTGGTCCAATCATGAACTCCAGTGTGTTACCTACTGTATGTGTGGAAATGTGCCTAACACACCGCCTGAGTTGATTCGAGACGTGTCATTAAGATTGAACAGTGAAATGTTTACTGTCAATCTTATCCTACATGACGTATCCTATTTTTATGTGGGGGCTTGCTTGAAGTCATTTATGATTCCAGTGATTAATGTTCCAAGTCAGTCCCTGGTATTAGTTTGTGATGGGAGGAGCAGTGTGGTAGCAAGATGTGTCGCCAAACAGATTAATCAACGTTGAAATGCACTGTTACCTTGGCATGCAGAGAGCCACACTCTAATGGCATGTTCTGCTGAAGGGATTTGTCCTTGGTTTGTGACTTTGAATCATCTTCATCATCTTTTTAGGCATTTTGATGAAGTATGTACTATATTTCATTGGAGTAAAGCCACACTGTGTACAAGGTGCAAACTAATGTATCGATAATTTTAATTTTCCTCCATGTCTGTGTGTGACTTGGTAGGTATTAATATCCCACATTCCTATTTGCTTCAGTTACACACAGCTTTTATGAAGAATGGATTTTAAGAGATTTTTTCAAGGAGAATATGCAACTTATCCCAAGGTTGAAGTACACTTGAAAACTTTGTTTAATCCCTCTGCCACAGACACCGGTTCTTCACGCTCTTGTTTTCTTCTAAATTATTTCCTAATTTTCTTTCTTTTTCATTTCTTGTCTAATCCTTATTCCCCTCTTGTTTTCCCTTATGTTGTTAATAGCGCTGTGTGAGGATGTACACAGGTGGAGTTAGCTCAATGAGTGAGCAGATAGCCGGTCAACTTAATTCTCAGGGAGACGCTAAACCCCTTCCTGAAAAAAGGGACCTGGTAAGTACGTTGTCCAAGCGCTGCAGAACAGCATGTGGCCAGAGAGTGTTTTTACTTTAGCTAGCAGTGGTTGAGCTGATGCTGCTCCTTTTCACCTGTAGTGTAATGAAGACTGTGCTGTTGTTTTTGTTGTTGTGAATACAGATGAGTTTTTCTGCCTTTCACTACACCACATGTATACTGTGTAACCCTTTAAATGGCTGTGAGCTGGTCATTAGATGGTAAAATACCTTATATTTTCCATCAAACTGTAACAGCTACCTGTTGAGATTTTGGTTTGATAATGTTTACTAGTCTTTGCCATTCTTGTGTTTATCTTTGTTTTTGATCTTGAGTCCGCCACAATGATTTATGTTTCCACAGGGCTCGCTCAGAAAAGAGTTTCCTGTCAACATCGGAGGCAGTGACGTTTGCTTCTTCTGTCGGAAGCGTGTGTACGTGATGGAGAGGCTGAGTGCGGAGGGGAAGTTCTTCCATCGCAGCTGCTTTAAATGTGACTACTGTGGCACCACACTTCGACTTTCCTCCTACGCCTTTGATGTAGAGGATGGTGAGAACGTTCCCCTTTTATTTCAAGCACATCACTGTGACTTTTATAGATCAAACATGGCCCAAATAAACTGAATTTATCTTTTTACTTTAAAGGAATTTATGGCTAACGTTTCATCACAATGCCCATACATTTTTAAAGTGCCATGCAACTTGTGCTAATGTCAAGTCAAACACAGCACACAGCCATCCTTCGCATCACCAGTAACTGACAGTCTAGGAATTTGATAGAGCAGGTTGTTGACAGTGGTAGAAAATGAGAATTAATAAAGTAAAACATTATTAAGAATCCAAACATTTACTGCTGTATTAAGAAGTAATTACCATAATGTTAATGAACAGTTTCCCTGATGATGCATTTATCTCATAAACTCCAGAGCTGTTAAGGGTAACTGGACTGTTTTAGTTTGTTGAAGCTGATTCACATCTTCATCAGAGAAGCTTACTCGGTTCTTCCTCTCAGATGAGAGGTTAAACATGTTTAAGAAATCAAGTCAGTATACTTTTATACGTAATATACCTCTACGTAAATGCTATGGATAAGATGATTTAGATATATCACATACTGTTTTTATGTTTTCTCAAAAAGGAAATTGTTAATTATATGATCCAGTTTACATGTGTTGACCAAACAACAAACAGGCTTTTCATTTGGTTCACTTGTTGCCCACGAATAGGTGGCCGGGGGACCTGATACAGGCCACGGGCTGCCATTACAGGACTGTATGCTGCCTTTATTGTCATTATTATATTTTCATACATTTAACAATTTAAAACTTTTTAGGAAATTATTTTCATAACATTAAACCAATGTGGACAAGGCCTAATTTTTAATACAAACCAATATAATAACCTGGCTGCAGATGCCAGGTTCTGTTTCTTTTATTCTGTCTGGGATTTAACGCAATAAGCTGCAAAAAGAATCAGTTTAAAGTAGCAAGTTTATTCAAATCTATGCAGGTCAGAAAAAGTTCTTGCAACAAAACAAGAGGTAAAAAAAGTAGTTGAGTAAAGTATCAGTTGATGTCTAGAAGGACCTGATGTGGTACAACAGTGACCCTGCAGCAGATTCAGTCCAGTCTCTATTGTTGTCAAGAACAGGCACTAGATTGTTCAGTGAGACAACACAGCTGTTGTTGTATCATGTGTCAAACCCACTGGATGGTCTCAAATAAGACAAAAAGGAAGTTTTTTGTCTAATTTGTTTATTCTCTGTCATACACCGAGAACTTCTGCATCAAAGATGATGTATTTGGATACGATTTTCTTTAAATCTTTGGTCATTTTTGCTTCATGCTACAGGGAAATTTTACTGTAAGCCCCACTACTGTTACCGACTCTCTGGCTATGCTCAGAGAAAAAGACCTGCTCCCTCCCCTGCTCCAATCACAGCTCAGGTAATTAGTTTTTGATTTGATTCCAAAGATACTTAAGAAATTCTGTGCAGCATCAATAATAAATATTTTAATGTAATTTATTTTGTGTAAACTAGTGTTTTCTGCACTTTCAGGAGAACTTGTTGCCTCAAACTCCCGCAGCAACAGTCGATGCCCCTGGAAGGTCAATGGCGGTAGAAGCAGCAGCATCTCCATCCTCGGAGCTCCAGCCCTCAGGTATCCTTCTTTTCCTGTCTGCTGTCACACCAACATAAACTTTGGCATCTGGCAGTAGAGCCAGGGGCTCCTTAATATTCCTTACACCATCTTGTTTTTATGGATGTGCCACCAGATGGCACACAATCATCTAGATTCTTCTTTCCTGTAACTTCCTCTTCTACTGTATGTCCATCAGTGACTGGCTCCACCCACTCTAGAGGGGCTCTGTTGTCCCTTCTTGCTATTTTTCTCCTTCCCAGCTAATTTGATCGTGTGGTCTGTGTGGCTGATTGGTTTGTCTCACTCACTGATAAAGTAATCTTGTTTAGCTTCTTTGCTGCAAAGATTTAGCCTTGTATTAAATAGTCATTGTTTCACTCATTCAAAGGTTAGTTAAGAATATATACTTAAATTTATGTTTTCAATATCTGTTTGATACTACACTTTATTTTGACTTTAAAATTTCATTTTTTAATTGATATTTCCCATTTTCTTTATTTTGACGATTTCATTTTTTAATTGATATTTCCCATAATATACAAAAAAAGTGGATTTGACTTACTTTAACATCATATTTTTCTTATGAGGAGAGCTATGTCTGCAAGTTAATTTTTTAGGGTTGCAACCATTGAAAAAAAAGCACTTTAATTTAATCACTTTTATTCAAACCATTCAAATTCACCAGCACACAGTCATTTTAGGCATGACGAGATTGGAAAATGGCAAGGTACCAAACCTGCATCTGCACCTATAATGTTAGAATTAGATTCTAATGACACCTGATTCCATTAATAAGATGTAGCTTGGTTATCATTGCACTGTATTTTAAAGCTCATTTATTCATCATTATATTCTTTTTTTATTCCTTTTCCTTTTGTCTCGTACTTATCTACTCCTTAACCTGGAATTCCAATAAAAGAGGTCAATGGACTGCAGGAACCAAGCATAGCTAAGCGTCTGCGAGGAACTCCAGAGCGTATTGAGCTAGAGAACTACCGTCTGTCCCTTCAGAGGGAGGAGGAACTGGAGGAGGTCCCTGAGGAGACGCTGGCGGAACACAACCTCAGCAGTGTGTTGGACAAGGCCACAGATGCTGACTTGGGTTCCAGGTACAATCACAAAACAACACCATAAGGGAAACTCATGAGTTGACAATTTGTTTCTGACATTTTTTTGCACGTGTTATAAAAATAAAATCTCCCTGATTGTTATGAAATTAATCTCTGTGCACAATCTTGGTACACAATTTAAACATCACCTAGTGAAAATGTGGTTTGAAAATTCATGCATTCTCATTAGAAATTGGGTCAAGTTTAAAAAAAAAAAAAAGTAGCTTGTAATTGTTGAAGGTATACAGCTGTGCACTTTACAGCCAGGCAACTGCACTGTCCCGACAGCTGGAACTTAGCGATTGACTACACTCTGAGACCTGTTTGATCTCAAGGGGAGCACTTTTTATATCTTTATCTTTTGGTCTGTCAGTATCTACCGACCAGAATTTATCACTTAATCTTCAGTACAGAATACACCAAGTGCATGCTGAACTTGGGAAGTGATGCAAAATCTACCATGCAATCAGAGTGATGTAAAGTTTAATACTTTACTCCTTAGCCTCTGCTTAACATTCAATGGTTTAATGACAGTCAATGACAATGACCAAAGCTTGTCTGCTCTGTTTCTTTGGGCTGTTAATTTTACTCACTGTAACACTTGTTTTGTTTTGTTTTTTCAACAGTAGTTCAGAGTCTGACATGGAAGAAGAAGACGAAAATGAGTGTGACCAGGACCATGAGCAGGATCAGGAGGAAGAAGAAGAAGAAGAGGAAGAGGAAGAAGAAGAGGAGGAGCAGGAGGAGAATGAGTTGGGGCAGCAGGCTGTAAGTCCATCAGACCTGGGTGGTGTTCCCTGGAAGGAGGCTGTGGAGCTTCATGCCAAACTGAGGGGTGACCAATGTGATGAAGAGAATGAAGCTCAGGGTGACACTGTCAGTCGAGATGGAGAGGTAGATGAAGATGATGAAGAAGACGAAGAGGAGGACAAAGAGGAGGAGGAAGATGAACCAGAGTCCAGTGAAGGTGAATAAACCTTTTAGTCTGTGTGTAGTCTGTGAAGACGTGGACTTTCTGTTTTCTTCTTTGTGTGTTTCCACTTCCAAATTTGTCTCATTACGTGTTTGGACAACATTCGTTTTTCAGACATCTTGTCTCCTCTTCTTCTGACATCTGTTTCCTTCTTCACTCCCTCCCCTTCATTACTTTTCTCGTGTCCACTATGTTTGTACATTTTATCCTTTCTGTGTGGTGGGGCTGTGTCTCCCCCTACTGGCAGAGGGAGATTACTGCCCCTGGGATAGAGAGCTCCAGTCTGGCCTCTGGCTGGAGAAGTGCCTCACAGATGAAGAGGATGTTGGTACATTTAAAGGTAGCAGCAGAAACTGACTATGGATGCACTTCAGTAATTTTGAGTTTGATGTTTAATCCCGGCTGGTTTGGTTTTCATTTTTAAGGGTTTCTTCAAAATGTGCTTTTTATTTTCCTTTTCCTTCTTTTTTTCTTTCCTTTTCTTTGCTCGCGTTTTGTGGTGTGAGTTGCATTGCTTTTCAAAGGAAATTGTTTTCCTTTCACTTTGAGCAGCCATCAGAAAAAAACTAATTTTGTACGTGGCTTAAAATATTAAAATAGATCTGATGCAGGAAAGTTTGTCTCTTTCTGCAGATACGGTTTGATATTAACGAGCAAGGTTTCTTATTAACAATTTATTTCCTTAACCATCTGTCTTTAAAGCTCACAAGGCTGGTTTAATTTTGCAGTCCACTGCATGCAGCCTCATTTGTGGCTACATATGATATTTTGATTATCAGTGTACTTCAGTACTTAGTTTTTCTGTCTCTTTCTCATATTTGTCTTTCTCTTCCTCTTTTTTCCCTCTTTCCACTGTATTCATGTCTTCTCTCATTGTCTGCGTCCCCTTTAATGCTTCACACAAATTCATGTCACCCAAAAAAAATCACACGGCAAACACCAACACCCACATCTAGCAAGGAACCTACAGATCCAACAGATCCTGCAGCCCGTGGACCCCATGGCCGTTCCTGTTGTGGAGAGAAAAAAGTCTGAGGGAGAGAAGGAAGGCCAGTCAGCCTTGGCTGCCAACCTCTCCCAACCCTCAGAGCTCACACAGCCCTCCTCCACAGGTAACCCACCCTGAGGAGCTGAGCACCAGTGGATACTGTGGGTCTCCCAATTTAATAAATCAGGGTCTTCCAGTATGTTATCAGTGTGTGGATGCTGCTGTTCTGTTTTAACACGTGGAGCTCCCATCAACATCTAACCACCTAGTTGTATATAATCATCTCTCACGTTATACTTTTTTTTTAGATTTCTTTTATTGTCTGGTAATGTCTAATTTTGTTCCACTTTAATTTGACATTTAGAGTTGCTGTTTTTCTGCTTCATTTTGATTTTGTTCTGCTTTTGTGATTGTTTTCTTTGTGTTGTGCTGTGTTTTTTTTTTTTTTTAATTTATTCCCATGTGTCTAATTTCTTAACTGTTATTTCCATCTATACCTCCTCGTTTCGTTTCTTTGGGGTTTGAATATAGCACCTATCCACATGTCCCCCCGACACGAGGCAGTGAGAGTCTGGTTGGAGTCCATGTCTGGAGGTAGCTCAGAGTTCAAATGGATCATTGTATCAATTTTAGGCTCACACACTGTCTGTCTCACAGCTGGGCGCTACCAGGAGCATGCAGCAATATGTACAGGGACCAGTAAACTCACCAGCATGCATGCTGTAAAGTTGTCACTCTGGAGGTTTTCAGTCAGATCAGTGTCTGTTCTCATAACCCACTCTCCTCTCTCCTGTCCTGCACACCTTTTAAGAGTTTCATTTTCTCTTCACTTATGTTCTACAATATACAGTAGAAAGTGTTTAGACCATAGACCAGTGATCCATTAATGCTTGTCAACACTTGATACCACAGTGTTTACTGCCATAATGGGTAAAATGGGATATGTTCCATTGCTGTTACTGTTATAAATTCAGACTAACCTGCTAATGGCTCTTCAATGGCTCGGTGTTCAGAAGTATTCGGTCGCCCGTGTGTTTCTCACTGCATAAAAGCCTGAATGAATAGAATGAAAGCTTACGTGCACTATATTTGGATTCACTGGAGGCATTTATGTTCTTTATTGAACGCATACTCAACCCCTCAAGCTCAGACTTAACGAAACCAGATACTCTTCCAGTATTTCCAGTATCAAACACAGGGCCTTTGATGCAATGATCACAATAATCTCACTCTTGCATAAATTAACTGGGTGGATTATTATTTTTCCTCATTTTGTTTTTTTTTTCCTCATCAAATTTATTTTAACTTCTGCATTTTACATAACCAGCATTATTACTACTTTGGTTGCACTTTTTGCATTTTTTTTACAGATAAAATGCATGCACATGCCTCTTTGCATGTATTGCTTCTCATTACGCTCTGTGCTCTTTCTGCACCTTTATGGTTTATTTTTAATTGTCATTACGTTCTCTATAAAAAAGCTTTCACAGATAGAAATGCTTACTTCAGTCTTACGTTTCTGTGCCCAGCCCTCAAAATCCCATTAGTTTTTTTTATGTGTTCCTGTTTCATCTTATTTCTTTCAATTTCTTTGTTGTGTCAGAGCCCGGCGATGAAGACCCGGAGGCAGAGGCAGACACCGCTGACATGGAGTTTAGCACAGAGATTGATCAAGGTAAACTCTTAAACTCTAATACAAAGAACACTGTGACAATGGGCCCGGCCTTTTGATGTCACCAGTAACACTCTTGCTTGAAATTGCATTACAGTGACAAATGTGCAGGAACATTTTGAAGCTTTTAGGCTATAAACAGCTTTTTATAATGTTCATTTTAGATGACATCCCTTCAGATGCGGAAGCCGAGGCTCGTTTGCACCAATCAGAAAATACTGAAGCCCTTCCTGAAGAAGACAAGCAATTAGAAAGTGGTGGAATGGTTTCAAGTATTGGTACATGTCAACTTTTTTTATACACAATTATTTCCTCTTTCCTCATGATCCATAGTGGAATACAGAGGTGCGACCAGAAGGTGTAGAGTATGAAAAGTCAAAGGTCAAAAACGTTTTTATGTAGATCTAAATGTAGTAAGTAAATTAAGATGATTGATTAATTTTAAATTAAATTAAGATTTTACAATTTTAACCACCTTGAATATAGCCACTTAAAATGATTCAAACCTTTTTTTAAAATAACATTTGACAAGGTAATGAAAAAGTCATGTCTTGTGACCTGTTGCAAAAAACATCCCCATGAATCATACAAAAGAGAATCCTAAATCTCCTCTTTCAAAAATGTCTCAAATTGAAGGCTATGTAGAGAAATAGTTTTACTTTTTTTACTAACAAAACTTTTTTTTAACTATATTCAATTATATGTTGACCATTAGAATATAACCTTAAAAATGCAAAAATCTCTTTATATAAAAGTTTAAATCTTAACTGCTGGAATTTGAGTGGTTTTGGCTTGATAAATATAAATATAATAAAATACTAAAATAAAATATAACGTCCATTATCTATTCCGTAAAAAGTTTCTTTTCAGCTTCTCCCTCATATGGCTAAAATAATGCACCATTATAACTTTGAGACCTGTGATGTTTTTTGTTAGCAAGCAGTTTTTCCTCCAAGATGATAAAGAAACTCACACAACAGTTATGAAAAAAAAGATCTGTTGGCTCTCTTTCTTTAAATCAGGTGCCAGCCAGGAGTTCATAGTTCAATACCTGTGTCTACAAAGAATGAATATAGACAGGTGTATTTTTTTTTCCACACAGACCAATCGAGCATTAGTCCAATTCAGAAAGAAGATCTCATCATTTCTCCTTTGAAATCACCACAAAAGCCAGAGACTCAGGTGAGAAATCCTTTCCTGCAGTACCTTATTGAAAATATGTTGATGAAATCCTTACCATCTTTTTTTCCCTTGCAGATGCCTCTTGTAAAGTCTCCCGACACCCGCTTTTTCCCAGACCCATTCATTCCTGACGAAAAGAAACCTGAGCGAACAACGCCTTCTCCGGTTGCTAAAAGCCCACTGTGCCGTTCATCCGTCCCCTCTCCTATTCCAGTTGCTTCACCTGTCAGTGTTCCTGGCACACTGTCAGCTAGTTCTCCAATCATATCCCCTGCTGCCTCTCCCATCAAACCAACAATCGATTCACCTGTCAGTTCTGTGGGCAAGTCTCCTGTTACGTCTCCCATATGCTCTCAGCCCACCTCCCTACCGGAGACTCGCACTCCTATATCTCCAGTTTACCCCCAGCGTTCCATTTGCCCTCTCACAGGAAACCCTCTCTCCCCAATCTGTGCCCAGCCCCTGCCTTGTCACGAGCCTTCGTCACAGCTCACCTCAGAGTCTCCTGTTAGAACACAGCCCGTCCCTGCAGTCACTTCAACACCTATGACCAAAACTGACAAAACCATGCCTGAGCTGGAAACATCTAAAGATTCTTCCGTAGAAGAAATGTCATCCAGAAAGACTGATATCATTGAGGAATTTTGGTTGAAGAGTGCCGAAATAAGAAAAAGCCTCGGTCTAACTCCTTTGGATCGCAGCAGTAAATTGTTAGAGAAGAGTGTTGTTAAGGCTGATGTGCAGGAGCCGACCCCTGTGAAGACATGGTCTCCAGAAGTATCAGAGGAGCTGAAGCCTGCAGTTACTGGACGAACTGTTATACGCAGACTGAACATCACTCTTGAGGGTCAGGTCATTACTCCCATTTCTCCAGTTGAACCCAAGAGTAATGATACAGATAAGAGGGAACTCAGCAGTAGCTTGGGTTCAGGGTTGAATGGCAGTGCAGCCGCAAGCAAGATGGCAAACAGCAAGAGCTTCAATGACTCCACCATGCTCACCCCACCCTCTAGTCCTCCGCCGCCTGTGCCTGCTAATCAGTCTCCAGCTGTCCTACGGCAGCAGAGACACCAAGTGTCTTGGGGCAACGGGACAGAAAAACGTCCACCTGAGCGTGCCAAAGAGCCAGTCAAAACCCAGACTCCTGTTCCTGCTCCAAGGACCCAGCTGAGCCCAGTGTCTCCACCGAAGCCTACTCCCAGGAAAGTGTCATCCCCAAAGGCAGAACCAGAACCAGTCCCTGTTGTTGTGATGAGGGAAAAGAAGAAACCTCGACCGGCGGAGGTGAGAAAGTCCTTCGTAGAGACAGTGGAGGAGATTCCATTTGCTGATGATGTTGAGGAGGCATACGATGAAAGAACACCTGACACAAGCTCAAACAAGTACCATACCCCATCCACTAGCAAACCAAACAGAGAAAAGCCTCCTTTGCATCTGGCTCTAGCAATGGAAAATGGTAAACCAAATATCCCTAGTAACCCAGCCTATAAGCCACAGAGGGCTACTCAGTTCTCACCAGAGGCCAAGGAAATCGCAGAGGAGAGAATTAGGGCCCGGGAAAAGTCTGTGAAGAGTCAGGCACTGAAAGACGCCATGGCTAAGCAGCTCACCAAAATGAAAGAATCTGACATTGATAAGGGGGCCTCGGCTAAAGTGGCATGGAGCGTGACTCCAGATGTCACCGTTAAAGGTAAGAAGTCGGTCATTTCACCAAAGACTTCAGCGGTGAAAGCCCTGGAGTCGAAGAAGGCAGAGACTCTACCTGAGCGTTTCTTCAGCAGCAACAAGAGTCTGGACAGCTCAGCAGCATCGTCGGACAGCTCTTCCACCAGCAAGAGCAAGAAACGAAGTTCCCTATTCTCACCGCGCAAGAACAAAAAGGAGAAAAAGGCCAAGAATGACAGTAGCAGGCTCTCTGGCACAGCCGAAACGCCTCCCAAACATAAGTCGTTATGGAAGGCTGTGTTCTCAGGGTACAAGAAAGACAAAAAGAAGAAGGATGAAAAATCATGTCCAAGCACACCATCATCAAGCTCCACCACTCAGGATTCTGGGAGAAAGACGACTTCACCTCCTGGGAGATCATCAGGTGAGAATTGTCATCTGGAGTTTAAAATCTACAGTACATCTTTATCTGGAAATTGAGGCTGTGAATATATTTTTCTTTTGTTTATTTACAGACTTAAAATCACGCCGAAACTTGAGTTTCTCCGAGGACTCGGACCTGTCCTGTGATGACGTTCTAGAGCGATCCTCCCAGAAGTCAAAGGCAGAAGTGAGTGGAAAGACATGACAAACAATTCAGTGTTTAATTTCTGCTCTTTCTTTTACTCCACTTTAAACAACTATGAGCAAAACAACACTTTCAGAAGTTCTCTATGACCTTTGACATGTCCAGACTCCACAGCTTTTGTGTCTTTTTGACCGTGCTTTCTCTTCGAATAAATTTAACTGAATAATTTCCTCCATCCCTAGCGGCATATGGACATCTTTGACCTTGTGTCTGACATGCAGAAAAAAAACATTCAGGAGGAGATAATGGAGAAAGAAAAAAAGAGAATGTTAAAGGGAAAAATTAGAGCAAAGGAGAGGAGTAAAGACAGACTACAGGGGAAGGAGGTTGATCTGGAAATGGAGAACAATGCAGAGGTATTATGCAGTAGTGGGTAAATTATTTTGAATTTCAATCAAAAAACACAGTGTGAAATATAAAGTGTTATTGTCTAAGCTTGGAAAAAACCTTTTACATTTATGCTGTACAAGCCTTTTACAAAACAGTAAAAAGCTCAAAACAAATAGACAAAAACAAACAAAGTTTCCCACTACCTATATTGACCTTTACTCTACTTTGTGGAATTCTGGAGGATGTTAAGTCATGACCTGTTTGTTTGCCTCGCCTAAGGCAAACATTGCAATCCTCTCTAAGGTTCTCTCCTCTCAGTTTTAGCAATAAAAAAGAATTATATTAAGCTCCATCAACACCTGTTGCCAATTTAACAGGTACTTTTTAAAATTTTTGATAGATAGCAACAACTGATGTTGGAAAAAACCCCGAGGCTTGACAAAGATATAGTGACAACGCTTGAAGTCAACACTGTTACAAAAAATTATAACATCTCTCTCAGTACTCTTTGACTTCTTGAGTATAATAGCAAAGCAAAGTGCTGTTAAATAAACTAGAGGGACAGCCATAGAGGAGCTTTAATTAAAACAATACAATTTAATGTTTTTAAATTGATCATTTTGGCTGAAATTCAAACTGTCTCCACTGCTGCTTGGTCTGTAGAGATAGATAGAACTTTATTAATCCCTCCGGAATTCCCTTTAGGAAATTTTGTATGGGTATTTGGTGTCTTAGATACAGTAGATCCAGCTTAGTTGCTTAGGTATGAAAGCATTAACCAACACATTAAAATCTGCACACTGACACAATGACACTGTGTGAGTAAGGGACTTTTGCCCCCTATAAATATGGCTTTGGACTGTGTACAGTTTCATTTATTAGAGATCAAAGGTGAGTCCTGCCCTAAAGGCCTTGTGTAGTTCAATCAAACATAGCCATTGAAAATAATCTATTATCAGTTCAATCAATGCCCAGAACATAGCCATTGAAAATAATCTATTATAGTGTTTATAGTTTTCCCAATCTGTAGTTATAGTAGATGTGTGTACTGTATTACTAGAGGGATCGTAAACAGACCTGTCTACCGCGGAATTGAAGGACACGTCTCTAAAATCCTTGGCTGTACAGTCAAATTTCAGTTCATAGTTGTGATTTTATTGGTTTCATTGGACCAGTGGTTTCCAAGCTTTTTTTGTCCCTTATGTTGATGGACTATTGTTCAGTCTCCCCCACCTCAACATATTCACAGCCACTGTTTCAAAACTACAAAAAGCTTATTTTCAATGAAGAAACTAAAGGAAAAAAAACAGTAGTACAATTAATAGATTAAATACAGAAAACAATGAGATTTAAAATAATTCTCCTGCTTGGCCCCTCTTAAATATCGTCACGCCCCCCAAGAGGGGCTTGCCCCCCACTCTGGAAACCACTGCATTAGACTAGGTCTGAATTAACATAGATACTCATTTGTCACTGTGTCATGTCAGTGTGGCTGTTGTTATCCTTCAGTTGGTTGTTAACGTTGTTGTTGTTATATCACACCTGCTCAAATATTATTTTGTTTTAATTAATTAATTTTTTTCACCAGTTCAACATAATCATTAACCCATTTTAATCACATCATTTGTTTCATGTTTGTTTCCTCACCTTTTTTTGTTTTGTTTTGTCCTTCCCAAGTCTGTTTATGTTCCCCACGCACTGGCGTTCAAGAGGTCATACGCCACAAAGGTAGTATTACACATGTTCCCATTTAATACCCTCCAACCAACACCACTTCACCCCCCACACCTCCCAGCATGTACCAGTTTCCAATCATTATACCTAATGTTCCTCTGGCCTCCAGCTAACTGTCCCTTCTGGATGCATGCGACAGTCGGACCGCGGTGCACACTCACTTGTCCACTCACCCACTTCTGGAAACATCCACTCTGTTAAAAAAACAAAAATCTTGCAAAAATACTCTTTTTTTCTGGACATCTCTTGATATCAGGGCCTGCTCCTGTCTGACTGGTATGATATTAACTTGCCTCTCCTGTCACTGTAGCAATGCTCCAGTCAGCCTGTTCTGTTTTTGTCTTCCTTGCGCCAGCTTTTCATGTGCTCAGCTAAAAGCAGAAATGTCTCTTGCCTATTCACACTCTCTTATTCCAAAACATTCTTAAATGTGAAAGTTTTACTGAGATGACAACAGTGAGTCAGGCGCACACTGTCACATGCTTTCCCAGGATTTGTGTGTGTGTGCTGCCTTAGAATAATAATTCCTAGATGTGTTAGTGTTGAGATGTTTAGTAAAGATAGGATACAGTGCTCTGCTGATGTTGTTCCTAACTTCTTTTTACATTTTAAACAGCAGGTTTTTCCTCTATTCTGTTCTGTTAATTTTTATTTAAAATAACTGGGCTCTGTGGGACCTACTGTCCAGAATTCCAGTTTGTGAAGAACCAGGCTCAGTCCAATATTTTGTTGTTTTATCAGAAAATCTACACAGAAGAAGAGCTGAATGCCAAACTGACACGAAAAGTCCAGAAAGCTGCAAGACGGCAAGCCAAGCAGGAGGAGCTCAAGAGGCTGCACAGAGCTCAGGTAAGTAACTGTGCTTTAGTTTAGCTCAGGGTGAACAGCAGACACGCAAGGTAGATAATCATCAATTTTTTTAATTTTTTTTATAACATTGGCCAGAAAATTGTTTTAATTTTGGTATAAAGTTTTTCTATATAACAACTGGATTTCAGTTCTAGCTGAAGATGCAGTGACAGTGAAATTTAATGGGCTTAAGCTCACGTTGACTTGTTGGAATAAAGATTCTAATCTTTTGATACATATGGTCTTGGTCCCAACCACTTTATCACCAGTCATGCTGCATAGGTGCTTTTACCTATTACATTTCTGTCAAAATGTCAGTACTCAAAAGTTTTTTGGCAAAACTGCTTTACTGCTGTAAAGGTTGCTGACAATGATTTTCCTGAAAATATATTTTACAAACCCATACAAATATCTGTATTTTAATGTGTACCCTGGCTAATGCAGTATACTGTCACAGATACTTCTTAAGGTTGGGTCGCACAGCTGTCTGGGTAATAATTGTATCATAGATAAAACAGAACAATATGTTTATTTTTCTTTAGTTAAGATATGTATGTCTATTAAGTTTTCTAAGTGCAGCACTACGAGCAGACTGTGCTTGTATGTATGCCCCTTGAGATTTCACATTTCCCGTGTGTCCCTCTAATGTGATGCAGCCCTGCTGTGATGAGTCCAAATTCGTGCTCACGCTCCCACTTCACTGACTCAGCTCTTCTCCTTTAGCTGTGTGGTTAGCTCTTCCTGTGAAGAGTTATTTAAGGGACCCAAACCACTGCTTCTTATTTGGCTCCTGTTGCTGCAAAGCACTGATAAAGTTGAGCAGTGGCTCAAACAGTCAGAATCACAGGAAACATGTTTTATTAAATAAAGTTTCTGCTTATTTAACACATATCCCTCTTTACAGCCCAATATATAATATGTAGCAAATATGTCTCTATAATATAAGATGTGCAAAATTGATGAAACCATCGTTTTAGTGGATCAGAGATGCAGTCACTTAGAGAGTTAATCCTAGCACCAAGCTGTTAAGACTGCCTAATTGTAATTTATATCTCAAAATCATTAAAATAATGATTGTTTCTTTAACAAACTGTATTTGTTACCTGAAGAACGTCTCGCAAAATTTTATGATGCAATTATCTGTTAATGTAACAGCCTGATATATAATTTGCATACTCGTAGTCAAAAACCTGATCCAGCTACCTGAAAATCTGTAAGGAAGTTTCACTACAACATGGCTGAGTGTTGTAGGGATTTTTTTCTGTTGCAGTTCATTGTCTTATTGCTCTCAATGACAAGTGAGTCAATAATGTCAGCAGTTTGGAAGTATTTTATCATCACGTACTACAAGGAGCGAGACTTACTCTAAGATTTTTTTGTTGTGATACAAACATAAAACACAAAAAGAAGTAGTGCTGGGTAATTACTTTATTAAATTCTGAATACATTAATGTTGTAGTCCTAAATGTCCGAACGGCTCCTGGTTCGAGTCCACCAGCTGCCAAGTTACCACTGAGGTGCCCTGAGCAAGGCACCGTCCCCACACACTGCTCCCCCACGCTTATAAGCTGCCCACTGTTCACTTTGGTGATGGGTTAAAAACAGAGGTCACATTTCGTTGTGTGCAGTGGTGTGTGTCACAAATAATTCACTTTCACTTTCTTTTTCACCTTTAATTTAGCATTACTAGGCAAATACTTCATATCAAAGAAAGAATATATAGACTGATCCCAGGCTGGGAAATCACTTATCATATGGCTTGGAATCTAACCCTAACCTCCCCCATAGAGAGAACCCAACCTCCTTGCCACTGTTACCCCTGTCTAAAATGTGAAAACATTTCACTGAAATGAAAAACAAAAAAACAACAGAAAAAGCTGTATCTTTCCCCTTATTGCTCTGTTTATTTATTTATTTTTTTCCACCAATGCCACTAATAACAGCAGTGGTGGGTATGAAAGTGATGAGCTTTGAGACTTAATTGGTTTGGGTTGAGTCATGAAATAGGACATTTAATGCCCATCACAATAGTCATGCCATTTAGAGACATCAATACTGGTTTAATTAGTTGTGCACCCAATTGCCCCTCAAGAAATGTGTACGTAATTAGAGTAAATTGTTGCAACAGAGAAGAGTTAAGCTCTAAAAGTGCCTTCTGTCAAAAGTTTTGGCTTCAGATTAGTTGGTAAGTATTTGTGCTTTTCTGTATTTTCTGCAGATTATCCAGAGGCAGTTGGAGCAGGTGGAGGAGAAGCAGAGGCAGCTGGAGGAGAGGGGCGTTGCTGTGGAGAAAGCTCTGAGAGGAGAAGCAGGTAACACTTAGTTCTTCATCTTTTTATATTAAATCCAATCAAATCAGTGCGCCCTTGCTGCTGCAGACTAGCACAATGCGTATTTCCAGTTGAATTGAGGAAAGTAGATAATGTGCTTGGCAGACATTTATTTTTAATTGGTATACAACTTCAGCCTTTTCTCAGGGAAAAGGGTTAAACCTATATTAGAGACGAGAGGGAAAAAATGAATTGCATTCGTTCAGAGAAGCTGCCGCCCTGCGGTCGTTTAGATCATGCTGAAGACACACACGTGTATTTACTGTTTATTTAGTTGTTCTCCAGGGTATAGAAAAACACATTAGTTACTGCAGTGAAAGAAGGCCCTGTTGTTCTTGAAGAGAGACTATCACAGAAGCAGTGAGCAACAATACACGATTTAAGTTGCACACATTTTAGTGTTTAGATTAGTGTTCCCTGCATTTGACTTTAGTATGAAAATCTGTAAAGTTATTGTCTCTACTCCTTTTCAAAAGATTTTATTGTCATACCAGGATGAAATTCAACCATTTATTTTTCAAATGAATATCCATAGATCCACTGAATATTTATTTTTGTTGCAACATTTCACCCTAACGGACAAATAACAATTTACTTTTGCCCTCAGCTATTGGAATAAGCAGTTGTTTATGTTTTAACTTGTTTACCACTCTACTCTTTTTAAGGATTGTATAAAGGTACTTACACATTACCCAAACAGCACAAAAGAAGATCAGGTATAAGATTTTTTATAGTTTGATTTTTTGTTTGTTTTTTTAAAAACAGAAAAAAAAGACATGTCATACTATAATGTAGGCTCCATCTGTGGTGACACACTGCTACAGTTCTCCATCTCTGAACGTGCTGATATCTGTTCATGACATGTCCGCCATCGTCTCAGTCCAAACTGCATGCAAATCCAGGGAATGTGCGTCTCACCATAGATTTGTCTGTTCTCATTCGGAATGTCTTTTGTCCTTTCCAATGCCTGTCAACGAGGAGAGTTTCTATACTCTGATTATGACTCAAATCATGTCGTTTTGGTTCCATGAACGTAGTCATCATGTAGGAAATCAAATTTAAATTTAAATCGGTTCGCCTGCAGACGCTCTTTTAATTGGAATATTCTCGGAGAGTGGCTCTTTGGCTGAGTGAGTCGAAACAGATATTTTCAGAGATTTTATGTGTTAGACTTCTTTATGATGGTTTATAACCATAATCAACATGTGTTTTTGACTTAATACATCACTTGCAAAAATCTCATTTAACACTCTGCTGCTCTCTCTGACTGGAATATCAAATTATTAAATCATTAAATTATTGCTGTTAAAACAGCAACAAAAGTGGATTGAGGAGTACATGAGAGGAACTTTAATTATTTTATCTTGTTTGAGCCAACCACAGCTTTGAATCTAATCAAATGCTCTTCACAAGAGCAAACATCATGTGCTGCTTTGGCAGCACACAGCTGTTAATTGTGCGAAATTAAGCAGACAAGAGTTCAATACTTGGCAAATCTATGAGAAAGCTTGTTATTATTTTGGAGAATGCCATGTACTCCAACGTGACCAAAATCCCATTTTGAGCCGCGGTGAGTACTGATGGACACTCTCTTTGTTCTGAGAGTTGTTGCAGTGTGTATGTGTGTGCCTGTGTGTTTAAAAACACATGCATGACTTGCTGGATAAAGTGTGTGTTTGTGTGCCTAGTTTGGGGCTGTGTACAATAACTGCCATCTCTAATATATCCCTGTCATTGTAGACTATTGGGGAGATTCTAATTACAGTGAAATCCTGGACATGCATCTGGGCGGTATGTATTTCAAATCTGTCGCTTTGTAACTAACCTAATGGCTAACCCAATCTCTACTTCCTCCCCTGTTTTCTGATTTACTACTTAAGCTTTGTATCCCTCATGTAGACCTTCAAGGCTAGCTGGCTGGCTGACTGGCTGGCTGATTGGCTGGCTGGCTGATTGGCTGGCTGTTAGCCTTGATACAATAGTTCTGCTTTCAAACTAGTAAACTTCCTCTGCCTGCTCCAATTCCCTGCTCCTCCGCCCTCAATGGGTTTGACTTCAGACACTCGTCACATCAAACAGAGATCAGTCACTTGGCCTTATGCTGTCCCCTTAACATCATCTTTGATCTTTATAAACTTATGAATGATGAATTAATGAGAAACTCCTACTTGTCATTTCCCAGCAAGCAGACGGCACAATGCAAACTCTAGCACCAATACAAAAAAACCAAAAAAAAAAACAGCGATAGCAAGTGCAGAGAAATACGAATGAGAAATATGAAGAGCACTTGACTGAAACACTCCTTTGTCTCAGGACCAATCCAACAGTGAGAACAAAAGAATATGGATGCAAGTGATCTATCACATTCAGAATATGGACAAAACTTTCTCTCTTTTTTCGAAGAAGGGTTAGAATTAAGTTTTATATTATAATCAAGACGTTTATATTATTTTCCCCCTTAAATAAAAGACCATTGTAATAGAGAAGTTGAACAACGTTCTTCTGTTATTACATAGAGCACTGGATTGATAGCGATGTTGTTTAGAAAAGCTTTGAGATGGACTGAGGTGTTCCAAAAACAGTTGGATTACTTCCCAAAAATGCAGTAGACGTATAATTCTGGTATCATAATATTCTTTATCTGTAGTTCGTACTGGGCTTTTGCTTGACTGGCCTGTCTGCAGCTATAATGATAAGTATGATATGATAAGTATCATATGTTTCAAGAAAAAAAAAAGACTATTAAATGTTGTCTGTCATGCGAAAAGAGCAGTGCCATTTCAACTTTTATTTTCTATAGAAAGACCTATTATTACACATAATAAGCTCAAAAAGTGCAGATTTCCCATATCTGCATACATTGAACCCAACAAACCCAAATATTTCATAACCAGTATAACCTTCATATTACTCATTCTTCCTGACTTCTCTCAGATGTCTGTGCTACTTTACATGTAGTTCCCCCCGTAGCGCCAGCAAAGGCTTCCTCTGCTTTCTCATACCTGCTCAGTTGCACAAATCCATGAGTATGAGTGTATGTTGCCGTGTGAAGTACATGCTGATAGGTGTTCCATTGACCCTGGACTGCTTTGTCTAACTATTGTTGTGTTAGCAAAAACAATGTCTGGCTAAGAAGTCACGTGATCCATGTTGTTTCCTCTGTTGACTGTGGCCTTGTGTGGTTTAAATATGAGCACACTGCACCTTTTCCTCCTGGTGTCTGCGGTGGAGTCAGCAGGCTCCTGTTAAAGACGCCCTCTCTGTATTCCACCTGCAATATGCTGGGGGAAAAGGAGCGTTTCCTCATATTTGAGCAGGTTTTGTTTTGCTCGGCAGGATTTTGCTGCTTGTTGTTGTCACTCGTCTCACAGGAGGTTGTGTGGAGCACTACTCCAGTACTAATGAAAATATTAATGACTTGGTGCAGTGGGGAGCTGAGGTGTCATCACACTCGATTCTGACGTTGTTTCGACACTGAATGCCTTGTGTGTATGTGTGTTGTTTCCTCGTGTCTCGTCTTCTCTGTCTTGCTTGATCAAAGGATGTAGAACTGTGTCACTGACTGAACAGCAGATTGTCTGGTGCAGAGTTTCTCTGTCAGCCATGTTGTATTGATCCAGAGTTACAGGATGAGTAGTTGGCGGGTGGACTATTAGAGTGTTAGTGTATTGTTATTTAACTTCCACTCCTCACCTGAACAGTTATCGTAGAGTTATTGATTAGTTGATCGCTCAGTGGTATTGATGCAGGTCAGCTGTGGTTTGGCCACTAAATCATTTTAGAACTTATGTCTATGTGTCCACAACAACCGCACTGTTGGGAATTGCCCAGTTGAACATTGCAACTCCAGGTTGTCATGCCAGTGCAGTGCTAGGCTAATCTGTGGGTGTCCCTTTTTTCCTGGCGGACAGTCCCCTGTGGTGTCTTCTATCCACAACTTTTTCCAACTCAGGAACTTCCTTGTCCATTTCTCCTGATTCATATTGTTGTGCTTTTATCAAAGCCCTATGTTCTTAATAATCATCACACTTTCTCTAAAGGTCTTTTTCCCAATGTTATACCTATTTGCCTTTATTTAGGGACCTGTAATCAGTCTCTCATCTTACCTTTGAGAAAACAAAAAAAACAACAATTTTGTTGGTTGACATTAGAATGTTTTCTAATTTGCACTTCAAAATTCAGACACAAAAAGTCAGTGCTGTGAGGACAAATGGAGCCTGGTGGTCCAAACATGTTTGGGTTGCTTTTTACATTACATTAAGGGGATGAAACATCTTGAAAGGAAAAGCAATTATCTGCATCTGATGAGAGAATCTGCCACTGATCACTAATGGCTTTTATAATGAGATTAAATTATCGTTGCACTGTAATAAACATTGAGCACATGACAGACATGCAGAGGCTGCTCCTGTTTAAACAGAAAGATCAAAAGCGGGGAGACATTATTTTCTCTCCTTCCCCTTCAGGTTTTCTCTCTTGTTTATGTTTCTTAATTTACCCCCTTTTTTTCTCATGCCTTACACCACACAGATGGTCTCTTTTCCACTGTCCTCTCACTAGGTGATTCACCCCCCACCTCCCATCCTCCCAGACGCAGTGTTTTTCTCCAACTTTGACCCCCCCCCCCTTAATGTTTCCCCCATACACACACACACACACATACAGTCCCTATGTCCTCTACCTCTGTGTCCACTCTCGTTAACATCTCTGCTTTTTCATCCTGGATTATTTTCTTTATTCTCTTTCTCTCCCCCTCTCTCGCTCTCTTTCTTTTCTAATTCCTCTCTCCCTTATCACGTCACTCTTTTCCTTCCTCCCTCACACCCTCTGTCTTGTGGAAGTTGAGCCCTATGTGGGGATGCCACGCCGAAGACCTCTGTCCTTCTGCCTCTGCTGTTCCCCCAAAGGTAACTTTATCCTCGCCTCCTACTCCTCCTCATCTGAAGGTTGTGACGAGTTACCATGGCCACCGTAAGGATAAACTGAACTGGGCCATCCCAGTACTTCCCTCTCTCCCAAACACAACCTTCCTTCTCCTTCAATTTTTAGGCTTCAGTCTGTATCCAGTAGATGATTCCTGACTTTTCCTAATTCTTGCTTAACTACAGGAGTCTTTCGTTTTTTTAAGGAAAAATAGGGAAAACATACCACTACCCATCAAAGTGGGAAGGTTTTCTGAGAAAAGAATAAAAGGTCTATTATCTGTTATCTGTTAGTTCTAAAGGACAGCGAACATAACACATTAAAATTGTTATTTAATAAACAAACAAAAAAAAAGAAAATGAGTACTTTTCTATTTCTTAAAATAAGCACAAAGCTCTTATGTCTGAAAGACTAAAATGTCTTTAGGACTAGACAAAATATTAGATTTAAGTAAATACATTTATTGCTCTGTTGATTTATGAGGAGAATCCAGGTTTGAAAAAAATATTGTACCTGTAACTGGCAGCTTGTAATTAGCTGTCACAGTGTGACGAACAGATTAGTTGCAGTAGAAAGATTTTTCTTTGGCTTGGTCAAAGAAATAACTATTAATTATTTCCTTGATTTTATTTATTTTTTTGTATGTGTGAGTAACATATTTTATATCATTTAAAATTGAGGCAAAGCAGGACCAAAGAGTTCTTAGCAAGTCATTAGAGAAAGTCCTGCATTTATTATGATAACTGGTGGGGTATTAAAAAATTTCACACACCAAATGCTCGGATTTGAAAAACAAGTATGTCACTGTTTCGTAATGCGAGAGAGAGTGTTACTGAAGAAAAGAAAGCAGAGAATATTAGTCACCACCTACTGATAATGATGTTGTAAAAACTAACAGGACATTTAGTCAAAAGAAATATCTGTATATTAGAGGATCAGACGGATGGATGTCACCATGTCACCTGTGACTATAGACTGTTCAGCAGTAGTAAAAAAATGAACTTGAAAAACTGTGGCACATAGTATTCCTAGTTATTTATGTGTTTGTTAATTTAACCGATTATACTTATTTGTACTGTCTTTTCTTTATTTAGATTGTATTATGAAATAATATACGGTAGTTATAGATTATTTATAGATATTTATTTTTCAAAACATCACCTTTTATGTAGCCCTCTACATATTTAAAAGACCATACTGACTGCAACACCTGGCAGGAGACCTGTTTGTTAAGTAATTTAATTATGAAAATATACTTTAATAATGACCTGCCAAGCTAAGAATAACAGCAAACAAGCATGTGTTTCAAACTGTAGGTCTTTATACTTACACGTACACATTTTTGCAAAGTCATGCAATTGGGATAATTGTTAGTAGTTTGTGGCCAAGATTGTGGTTGACAGAGTGTGAAACCTGCATGGTGTGGTGTTTTTAAAACGTTGAAATTAATTCTCTGGTTGTCAACGTTTCTAACATCCGTCAGTGGACATTTGCTTGAAACTTGTAATGAAAGCTCTTTTGTGTGAGCTAGTTTTGATCTTCACTTGCAGTTTTTTTTTGTATTTTTCTTTTTGTTGTGCTAATGGAGAGAGAAATTGACTTTAACACATAGCAGGATAGGTTCTGGGGCTTACTTTTTCTTCAGAGTCCTCCTTTGTCTTCACATGTTGCATTCCTCAGCAGTGTCTCCGTCCACTTTTGCTTCCTTCTGTCTCCCGTCTGTCGATTAGTGAAAGCCCACCCCGAAGACCACAGCCATGCAATTTATCTGTGTACAATGTCCTTTCTGTTTGTTTTGCAAGAACCGCTTCTTCCCCAGCTAAGTACGTCATGCTGCATTGAGGTTTGCTTCTGGGTGTCTCATTGAAACTGCTTGTCTCCACCTGCTGCAGTCTGATAAACTAAAGTGTATGCATCGCCTCAGCAGCAAACCATTGTGAGCATGTCACATTAACTAGTCCTCCCCGTAAAGAGTACAATTGAAGTGCAGAGGAGGTCTGCAGCTGCTCTGTACTCCAACTTTTGGGCTGAAAATGAAACCACTGCATGATGCCAGAAAAACTCCCTGTGGCAAAATAGTTGGTTTCGGTGACATCACTCCATAAACATTTCAATGCGTATCCTACTTTGAGGCCGTAGAAAGAATTTTTGTCATTACTCAAACCGCTTAGCATGTATAGTTGAAAGGGATTTTTATTTTTTTGCTAGTGGATCAATATATGGACAGGGGAGGATTGTCTACAGGTCTTTGGGTTCTCTTCTCTGTTACTGCTTGAATACTGATTGGTGTGGTTTTTCATACTTATTTCTGGAAAAACTGAAAAGAGAAAGTTGTTGCTCCCAGTGAGCATGTCTGTCTGACACACTGTCCAAACTGGGTAACACAAACTCTCAACTTTGCAATAATCGGGTGTGGGGGTGTTTGTGTGTGCGTGTGTATTTGGGTCTATGTGAGTGTGCATGCTTGCGTGTATGTTCACAGACTTGAGCGCAGCTCCACATGGTCTCCTGTGCACCGTCAAGTATGTTGCACAGCTGATCAATCAATATCAAGTCTGTTCCTCCATCCCTCGGCAATGACATCCAGGCTTGGCTGTCATTATGCTGCCTGTGTCATTCAGTGTCTGTGTGACATGAGTGTGGCTGTCTTTCTGTTAGCCACCTCTCACCATCACTTTGTGCTCCCTTTCACTCTGCAGGCATGGGCAAGAAGGACGACCCCAAATTAATGCAAGAGTGGTTCAAGCTTGTACAGGAGAAAAATGCCCTGGTTCGCTATGAGTCAGAGCTCATGATATTGTAAGTGTTTTAATGGACTATTGAGATGCATAAGCTGAGTGGTTAATTAAAGGTATGTTTAAATAAATTGTTAAATTTAATATAATTAGTGTGCATATGAGAATTAATTAAATTAGATTTAGTCAAATACAGAATACATAAAATATCTAAGTATACTGAAACATGGATTTTGATTGATGGAATATCATTCTTGTGAAGTCATTGTAAATCTTAATATAAATTTTATTAGTTAGTCCTTTTTTAATCATATTCTGATTGTTATAACCCCATATCATGTTTTAACAACCAGTCATTTTACATATTTATGATTATATAAATGATATTGCAACATTTGTTTTTTAAAGCTTCAGTGAAGCAGATGTAACTTGTCCAATGTTTATTTTTATCCACAAGTGCCAGGGAACTGGAGCTGGAGGACAGGCAGAGCCGGTTGCAGCAGGAGCTCAGGGAACGGATGGCTGTGGAAGGTAAAGGCAGGATTGAATGTCCCCTCTCTCGTCTCCCTCAGGGGTTTACGCTTTTCATTAGTGCATCAGATTTTTGGCATTTAAATGTTCTGAACATTTCTCCCCACAGTAAACTTCACTCCGTTCTAAAACTTTACTTTCTGTGCTTGTTTTTAGGGCTATGTCAAAGAGTCACATGTAGCATTAGCACTGAGAGTATGGCTCCAATCAGTATGGCTCACTGTGCATCTTTGTTATCGTGGCTGCCGTGGTATTTGCAGTTTATCAGGAAGCCTGAAATTAAGGAGTGTGACATTTCCAAACGCTCTTATTTCTGCCCACTTACACCCAGGAGGGATAGAAAGTGATTAATTTGAGCATATTGATCTGTCTTGGAGTTAACACTCAGTATGAAGAGGTGCAGGAGATACATGTGTTTAAGAAGCCCTCACATTTCCTGTTTTTTTTTTTTTTTAACATTTGCACTGTTTTAAAAAAATCTATTTTCTACTAAGTTATAGTATTTTTCTGTTAATGAGAATAAAATAAAACTGGCTGTGAGCATTATCGTGTCCAAACTGGTTCGGATTGAGATCGATATTGGCTCGATCACACAAATTCCCATATCTCTGTGCCATCTACATAACACTGCCTTCCAGTTAATTGTATATCAATTGTCATCCAAACTAAAGATGTATCATTGGTGGTACTCTGTGTTGTAATTGTACTGTTTTGATTAGTTTTTTGTTTGTTTGTTTTTGTTGTTTTGTTTTTTTAGACAACCTTAAGACAGAGAAAGAGCTTGCTCAGGAAAAGCAGATCCTCAGTGAGATGTTGGAGGTGGTGGAGCAGCGTGATGCTCTGGTGGCCCTTTTGGAGGAGCAGAGGCTTCGGGAGAAAGAGGAGGACAAGGATCTCGAGGCGGTGATGCTTTCTAAAGGCTTTAACCTCAATTGGGCCTAGAAGGGAATAAACAAGTTGCTCATGGTTGTCTTTGATCAGAATTGCTTGGGGATCATGGGAACCAAGCGGTTGGTGTGAAACCATCACACCTGCAGCAGTGATTGTGTTTATATTAGTCCAACACACACACACACACACACACACACAAAGCAGCCTGCCACGTTTACATATCCTCCGCTGGAATGCAGTACTGCAGTTTTACCCGCAATCTTCTCTGGGAGAAAAGATGCGAGTATGTTCTCGACTCTATTTTGGCAACCATGAAACGGATCCTTTCAGACAATGGAGGGCCTTTGGGAAAACGTTCAAAGACCTGTTTAATTCTTGAGTATCTAAAGGGAAGAGTGAGGTTTGGTCCTGCTGATGTAAAGGAATTGTGAAGACAGAAAAACTTTGTGTTTCTTTGTGTAAACTTGTGTAGAGCAAATCAAATTCTCAGCAGAAGAAGTTGTTCTCTTTCCTGAAAAAGCGGTGCAACTCAGAGTGGTGTGGAAAAACATGACGACATCTGCTGAAGCTCCCTATCTATGCAGTGACAGACTTTTGCTTCTAAATGAACCACAACAACAGTATGGAAAACACTCCTTCCCTTTTGTGATTCAACACAAAGGTCCCATTACATATCACTACTTTTGTCTGTTCTTTTTTTATATTATTTATCTCATGGTTGGCTTCCAGCCGATGAACACTTTTAGTTTATGTTGACAGCCCAGCACCCAGAGTCCTATTATCTTACTCCCATTAGCCGCTGCATGTCCAGAATGAATGCTCCAGGCGCATTGAAGATCACTACAAGTAGACATAATAAAACAGATGTACTCTTGTAATAACATGCAGGCATGTCACATGACTCGCAAATGGTGGGCTACTCCCTCCGATGTCATCCACTGTATATCACACTGCCTGTTTGTGTTTACAATCACTCATCCATGGTATCAGTATTGGATTGTCTTTTCCTCTTTGCTCAGATTGCTCTGATGAAACAGCGGGTAATTTAATCAACTGTTAAGAATCCATCATGGAAAGAACAATCTTTTCAGGTTCATCTGTCAATAATGCGACGTTATCCTTCATGAATGTGGTTTCACAGCCAGTCGGCCCTGAGGAATCAGAAGAACCCGCATCTCTCACTTTTGTGCCGCAGGACTGTTTCTGTCGGTGTATATGCAATATCTACACAATACAATAACGCAGGAATGTATGCACTACATGTTTATCCTCTGTCATTTAACAAGATGTCTTTTTCATTTTAATGGACATTTGTCAAAATGGCTTTGACTTGGTCACATCCGTTTTACCCCAAAGGATGTTATGCTTTATAATATTTAAAATATTTACACTACACCAGGTCGATGAGCGAACAAAGAATTTTCAATAGGACACTTGAGGAAGCTTTATGAGCAACATGCATTAGACAGGATCATTATGGTTCATCTGGTGGGCAGTCAAACCTAATAGGCTGTTTGACAACTGTAAAGAACAAATCCTGGTCACTGTTTTAGAGCACACAAACACTAGAGGCTATATTTATGACTTGGTTGAGCTGTAAATAAATCAGGTGTTACATAATTTTAAGGGTTGTTGTTTTAGATTCTGCGTGACTTGATTGTATTGATATTTATTAACATGTGTGCAAACTGTATTATATGTAAAGAAAATGAATCCTAATTTTTAAAAATTTCTGTTGTCACATGACAAAATGTAAATGCTTCATGTGCTAGGAAACAGAGGTGGTTGGATGTTTGCTGACAATGGCAATAAAACAGTGCAGTTCTTTGAAATGTTAGCCCTCTGACCTCCATTCTTTTTTAGGAAGTTGAATATTAACGACAAAATCAGCCACAATTTCTTTTAGTACATTACTTGGTAACAAGAAAGTTACCAAGACTGGTTAGAAAATTGGTATCATCAAAAATGTTGTTTTCTAGTAGACGTGTGTCATAGTTCACCTCTTTTTAAACTTAATTTGAGATGTCATTTAAAAAACTCGTTTTCAGTACAGAAAATAATTTGACTTATCACTTGTCTTCAGACAATAATGTTAATCTCCCTATAAGTTAGAAGTTAACATTGTTACGCAATGAGTGACCTTTGGCTCATTTCTTGTATAATAGCATTGCCTTGTCATCATAATGGAAACTGTTGAACAGCACATGAAATCCAAGAATCTAGAAATTCTTTGTAGACTGTACCATTAGAATCAATAGTACATGTATTTATTGTAGGTAAACATATTCATATACTCTAAATTGGTATTTGTTTAATGAATTCAACCCTTCCCTGATGAGATGATCCTTTTTATATAAATTACATTTATACAAACTTACTATAAATACTAAGCCTAAGGGACAACTGAGTCATTGTTAAACTGCAGCATAAGTAAATAAACAGAGACCTTTTTTGATCCCATACCAGGGTAATTGTTGTGTTAACAGTAAATCTGCTGCAACACGCTGCCCAATGGCCAAGTACAGTAAGTGGTTCCCCTGGGTCTCAACCCAGGATGTTCTGTTGATGTTTATTGTTGATTAATTTGTGGCTTGGAAGTAAAATATTGTACCTGTTTTTGCAAAAAAAAAAAAAATGTTTTGCATGAATTTCCTGATTAGAAATGGGGTTTGTGTGTTTGACTTACAGCCAGAAGGTTACCAGTTTGAGCCATGAGTAGGATAATATATATGTGTGTGTGTGTGTGTGTGTGTGTGTAGATAAAAATAAATCATAAATCAGTACAATTATCCCACCATGACACAACTAAAGAAATCATCTCATAATATAACTTTATATTTCTGTGCTACTCTCTGGAGGAGCCTGCTCCACACCTTGGCAACCACTGGCCTAATCTCGTGTTCTTAAGAAACATAAACATTATATGCAGAAGTCGATGCATTTGTGATGGTGGCAAGGTCCAAAGAAATCCTAATAACTAATCATATTCAATTAATAAATTAAATTAAAACCCGTACATTTACTTCAGAATATGATAAATTAAAACGCTCTGATTAATGGCAGCACACTTACAACAATAAAACACGGAAGTAGAAACACGAGACTTATTTTTCTGGTTTTGTGCCTCCGTACTTCAAATGTTATATAAATCAAAGAACGATGCACAAATGAAAACAAAAACACATGTTGTAATTATTCAGGTAATTAGTATAAACGTCCAAGCATGTGGTCAATACTTTTACTTTGAATGTCGTCATACTTGGAGAACCTCCGGTGGTGATTGCAAATGTTTAACAGTTGTGTTTTTTCCACTGCTCTGCCACTGTGCGTGAAGGTATAACATCGACTATGGATGCTGCCAGTTTCAGGGATTGTGAGGTGACAGTTTACCTTTTTATTATAAACACAAGTCTTAATA